TTGTAGTACAACCGTTAAACGTTTTGAACTTCGAAATATATAGCAAATGATAATCATGTTTCACATGAACTATCAAATTATAACAAAACTTGAACAAGTTAATTAGAAAGCCTCCAACATTTAGCTTGACATTTGTTAAAATATTTAGGTACGTCAAGAAATAATGAAAATACTTGCGGGTACTTTTATTACAAATCGAACAAAAGGATTTATCTTTTGGCTTAAATAATTTCACTTTATCTTTTCTCCACACTTTAATGATACGACAATATCGTAAGTAGGACAGCAAATTTTATTACGGTATTTAACATAAAAAGAGATCCATCAACGCGAAATGCATTATAGCCTTTACAAATTTAATAATTCTCATACTATTCGAAGATTATATGTGGGCAATAAAGGGGACTTTATCCCACTTCTGATGTAGGAAGTATAATGGGTATAGTACAGAGACTAATTTTGTAGTTAGGAATAATAATTAATTCGTTTACACGAATTAACTATCCAACTAGTCGAGGATAAACTAGTAACGGAATACGACAAACGCACCGTTCCACGTCAGAGCCAAGACTGTCTTAACGGCGGCCGCTCCGTCCGTTTTATACAAGCAGTACGAGTGGCAACGCAGGTGCAATGCCGCAGGTGTGCGGTACACGTGTCGTTTACAAGAATTCTGTCTAGCTAGACAGACGCCACCGCACCTACAACGGTGCAGGTGCCGTCACATATAATTTATCGTTATATTACCTACATATTTTTGTATAACTGTTACGAACTATGTCAAGCACCCAATTTCATACATCTCCTTTCCTATCATTTGGGTAACCCTACCTGTACAATATGTCTCTTTCAATAGTTCGATTCAAATTTAATGGCGACTAGTTGGCGCAAGCCACAGCGAACTAGAAAATTTTGATGCATTCGTTCGCGCGATTTTGATCAAGTATAGTCGAGTTCATAATTACATATTATTAATAAACGAAACACAAAACATTTATTGTTACTCTTCTATTGTTTTTTTTATAAAATACGTAAATCAATTAAATTAATTTTATACCTCTTAAGTACATTTTTATAGGTGGTAGGTGGGTATATATATATATATATATATATATATATATATATATATATATATATATATATATATATATATATATATATATATATATATATATACATAAGAACATACATACATACAGTCAATAATGGATTGTCTGTATATTGTGTACTTTGTCAACCTGACTGTACTTGCGTGAAGCCACACTCACAGCGAATTTCACAGCTGCCATTAAGGTTGAATGTTGTTATACCTATAAATTGCTGCTCACTCTATTTAATAAATTCTTCACTCTATTTAATAAATATATTGCCAATTTAGGTTTGTACCAAACTAATTTAGGTTTGGTGCAACCCTAAATTGGCTTTGCGCAAATTTGTTTGATTTATTCGTGTGCCGTGAGATAATGGATGTATTGATTACCTTGTTTCAATATAGTTTTTTGATAGTGTAGTGGCGATGTAAAAATCTCCAGTCCCATATCGTCCCGTGGCTGTCGTAAAAGGCGACAGAGGGAAACAAACCTGAAGATGGGCAACAGTGTCTTCCTAGTAAAATCTTGAAAATAAATAACTGCGGTTGCACTTTCTACCCTATAGGGTAATCTATGGGAAGTCTATGTTCAGCAATGGACTTTTGGTAGGCTGTAACGATAATGTACTTTTTTAAATAATGCAATATTTGGCTACAGTTTTCACCCACCGAACCCGGCGACTACCGCGTGGAGGTGCGCTGGGCCGGCCGCCACGTGCCCGGCTCGCCCTTCCCCGTCATGATATTCGACACACAGGAGGAACTACGCAGATACCTTCAGTCCATCGCGCCCTAACTTAGTCATACTAATTGAAGCATTACAGCTAACTCGTTACCCGCCATCTTTAAAAAAAAATAACGTGTAGTAGGATTTTATTACAATCACCTTAATTTCGTTCTATCAGCCATATTTAGCTTCCTGCTATTAATCTTTTGTTTTTGTTACGAATGTAAGTCTGGAACGAAATCTGTATTTTGTATTTATTTAAAATTTTGTAGCTTTAAAAGTATAATATTATGAATAACGTTTTATATTCTATTGTATTATTTTTTACACTATTAATGAAAATGGTATATGGTATAATGAACTTTTATATCAGGGAAATTTCTAAGAATGGATTAAATATAATGTAACAAACAGTGTTACCATTAAAACACAGTTAAAATATGTAATATGTATTTTCTTGATGTAAATTGCTAAAATATTCATTGAAAATAGATCTAGACATTAAATAACATTCCAATTTTATTTTTGTGTTTATTTTAACACAAATACTTTTAGTGAACCGTAAGCAATATAATAAATATTTTTCGAATGTAGTAACACTGTTATGTAACTGTAAAAATTACTACGGCATAGGAAAATAGGGTACTGATTGTTTGGATGTTATTTGAACACAATCCGTCCACCATTATTATTTTAAAATTATTTTATTTAACATTGCATAATATATCGTTCCAAATTAAGTAACAAGAGTATACTTTCTTTATAGTACATTCCGATGTAAAACTAATTGTAAGAAAAACATTATACAATTGTTTATTTGTTAATATTTATTAATAACGGCATTTAGTTGTAGGCGTCTTTACTTTTGTAACTAACTAAAGCATTTGTTTCTTTGTTATAACTTTGTAGTTCGTACGTTTAATGCGAACTCGATAGAGTGAATCGCTGATTAATTCAGTTACTAATTGTTAATAAATTGAAATTTATTACAATTTATGTATTTTATTTAAAATAACACCTCATCTTTTTTCTAGGTGAACCGACTTTAATGGTTCTTTTTTTATTTGAAAGTTGGTGCTTCTTATTTGGTCCCATTTAATTTTATCAAGATCTCACGAGTAGTTTTTGAGTTATCCTTAATAATTCGTATTTAATTGACTTCGACTACATTGATGATGTTCTCATTTTATTTATATTAAAGTCTGTTGTACAAAACTTTTAATTTCACCACTTGTTTATTGTCGACATATCACGCCTTGTATTGTTGTTTTTTCGTCATTCGTCTTACTCATACTTTCTTCGTCCACCAAAACCTACACACACACACACCCACATTATACATACAACAACACCCCTACACTCACGTATTCCTTGATATACATGTACTAATTACAAATTTTATAGAGGTTAAACATTTTATAATCTCACTGTCATCCTTAAGGGAAGTAGCAGATCATTCGCAACACGAGTATCCTTTGATTACTCACTAGGAACTCTCAGCAATATGTTGTTAACAAGATTACCGAAATAAACGCATTATTTATTCGTAATGCGTGCAGCGAAAAACCCAATACCTTGCCATTGTCTATTTGTCTATCCAATAACAAAGCGGATGTTTCAAAGTAATTAACTGATCACATTTTAAGAATTTGTGTTTTACTGCACGACCGAGAACTCTTATGATATGAAACCCTTAGTGCTAGTTATGTGTTGGTTAACAGTGGTATGAGACATCGGCGATGTACGATACGACCCAGTTTTAAAGGTTCCAGCCTTGTTATATCAGCCTAAAATTTCATTATGTAAATAAAACACAAAACATAATGATTTTTTATATTTACGCGAACACTACACATTGAATAAAACTATGTTTACGGATTTTATCGCGTTTAATTTACTTATTTTAATTCCCGGCGTTTCATGGTCATGGCGCGGACTGAGATGTTTGACGTCTCGATGTCATAGTTAAAATAAGTAATAATATTAAATCGATTTAATATTTATTCGGATTCAAAAAATAAAATAGAATAAAAAAGCTTTTAAGGTGTCATTAAAAAACTGTAATTTACTTTGAATGATATTTGAATAAATAAAATATATTATTCGTGTAAGATAAGATCGACATGCCTAATATTCACTACATTTTTCACTTACTTGTTGTTTTAACTTTCGTTAATTGTTTAACTAATTCGTTTCCTTGATAACCACCGCTTTTCTTTAACGATTTCATACTGATCCTGCTTTTTATTGACCCTTGCTTCTGTATTAGGCACGGAGAATCATGCCTACACGACTGACCCTAATTAGGTATTCACATCATGAGTGTTGTAATTGTAATATTCGCATACAGCTATCGTATTATTTATTCTGTGCTTATAGTAGGTATGCGAATTTATAAATATATAATTGTATATTTAAGTTAATATAGTGAGAAATCGACTGTTGCAGTGTAATCTGTGGCGCAGTGGCTTAGCAATGAGTTGCTGCGCTGGGGGCCGCGGGTTTGAATCCCGCACGGAACAAGTATTTGTATGGCCTACAAATAATTGTTCCGGGTCTGGATGTTTGTCCTTGTGCAATTTATGTTTGTAAACTGCCTGCCACGATACAGGAGAAAATCCTAGTGTGGGGGTAACGTTTTTAAAAAAAGAAATCTACCTTAACTCGGCTCCTAGATTGACAAATCTCACCAGATTTTCAGCTATGAATTGTTTATAAGTAAGCTTTCGAATGATCCTTATTTCATCTTCTTAACACCTGGGCCCGAATATGTACTGAAACGTGTCTTTCTCCTTTCCCTTCGAATGAGTCAATTTTTGGAGGAGGTGAGGACATCGATAGGATGTGGTTATGATGACTAAAGGTATCTTTAATCAAATTTTTGTGTTTCCTAGCAAAATAAAGATAAATAAAAATACCTCTTATTTTGCAAAATTTGTATATTTGTAGTATTTACAATATAGTGTTGACGTTTATGACTAGGTGTTATATTTTAAGGATAATAATGAAAAAAAAATGTATTAAGGATCAAAATATTTAAGGAAAACTCCTCCAAAAAAATTACAATGGTTACAAATAGGTACAATGTTATTTAATGGATCACCTAATTGTAACTGTAAAAATGTTTTTCGTGGAATAGTTTTAACTGTCGTGGTATTACAAAAATACTTTATAACAACGGTGCTACATTCCATTAGGCCTATATCTAAAGGAGACGATCCGACGATCAGGATACGATGCATAAGAATTTCCCTCCATTTGTGTACGCAATGCATCCAAACTCTGCCACAATTGCTGCATCTGACCGAAAATGATCACTTCCAAACGTTGGATTGAAGAATGAAGCTCTCCTGAAGAAAAAATAAAATAGAAGTAGGTACCATAGGCATTCTTAACCAAATAATCTTTTTTTGTGTTATTAAGAGAAGAAAGAAAACAGTGGAAAGTATTCGAGTGGTGGTGACGTAAAAGAATTCATCACTTTATTTAGACCCTTTTTTTTTTAATAATAATAATATATTTTGGTATGAAAAGGTTTTACAAATAATATACAATTGAGCAACATGTTTTGCTACAGTTACATATAGCATGCAAAAGTTTTGTTTTGTACATTAAGGGTTATGATTAAAAAAGTCTATAATGCTGTAGAAATTATTCTTAGTTAGGTATTCTTGTAATTTAGATTTAAATAATTTAGTATTTAATATTTTTAGATCATTTGGTAACTTGTTATAAATACGTACAGACATAGATAGACAACTTTTATTATATTTACTTATTCTAGGTGTGTTACTTAAAATGAGCTTGTATGGATTTCGTCGGTTTCGAGGATTTGCATCATTTGCCGTGTTAAATAAATATTTATGCTTCCATACGAACATGCATATTTCATAAATATAAAGACACGGGAAGGGTAATAAGTCAAGTTTTTTAAACATCTGTTGACATGAATCAGTTGGTTTAAGCCCACATATTGCTCTGATGCATTTTTTTTGTGCACTAAATGCTCTATTTTGATCCGTGCTTTTACCCCAGATTATAAGTCCATAGCGCAGTATTGACTCTACGTATGCATGGTAGGACAGAACAGCCGTTTTTATGTTTGTAACGTTTTTTAAATGTTTAAGGGCGTATGCAAACTTATTTAATCTCGTAGATACATCGTTTACATGCAATTTCCAGTTTAAATTTTCGTCTATAGTTATTCCAAAAAATGTTTTATTTGTTACTGCTTTTATTTTTGGTATGTTAAGATTAAAATTATATTTCTTGTTATTACATTTATTGAATTGTATATATACAGATTTGTCAAGATTTATTTTCAAATTGTTTATGTCAAGCCAATCAATTAAATTATCTATAGTATATATTTATGTCAGTCTCGTGGTCATTAATAGTATTACATTTTTTATTAGAGGTCACAATTATTGAAATGTCATCCGCGAATAATATGCATTTATGATTTGTTACATTAACAATGTCATTTATATATAATAGAAATAAAATAGGACCGAGCACACTTCCTTGTGGAACGCCATACCTATTGAATCTATATTTAGACGAATACGGTATGATATCCTTATTTTCATCTATTTTCATGACCGTAACACATTGCTGTCTGTTACTAAGGTATGAAGATATCCATTGAAGAGTATGTCCTCTAATCCCAAGCTTTTCGAGTTTTTGTAGCAGGAGGTCGTGTCGAGGCCCTTGGGTGTGAATAATGCATAAAATGCCAGAAAGATCATACGGATACAGACGGATGGCGGAATAACTATTCCGTTTACTTCTGCAATATCAAGACCGGTTTCGGGGAGCAGCGCCAATAGGGCACGACGCCAATCCACCTGATCAGCGATTATGGCACATCTTCCCTACAATATGCAGAGTTCGACTTTTACGAGCTGAAAAAATAAAAAAAACTTTCTCCATTAGGCTATTGTCGATGTAGGTCGTTACACTGACGCACTAGCGAACGAATATTCTGTAAAATAAACCTAAACTATTTCTGTAATACGGCATTCTTTTTTTATAGAATGAGTGTGTCAAACGGTCACATGGTCCACCTTTTTGTATATGGATGCTTAAGCTCATAGATATCTACATATCCTCGATTAAGGATCAAAATTCATAATGCGTTGCCAACCATGATAAGTACGATAGAATGCCTTGTTTCCAGTAAAAGGGGTATGCGGTTCTCTACGACGATACGAAATACAGCAGCAATAAGCTGCTATTTCATATAGGTGTTCTGTGAGAAAGTTCTCCCTGGTCTAGCTGATCCAATCGTACTACAGCGATAATATAGCTGCAGCGTGATTCTACCATGTATAAATTGTACCTAGTGAATGTTGTAAAAATTATTAATTATTATATTAATTACAATTATCAAAGTATGTATAAAAGCCATATATGCTATAGAATCCTGTTCTATTTTATTTATTTAATATTCTTTATTGCATACCATACATAAATTATATGTATAAAAGAAGTATGCAATGAGCGGTCTTATTGCTGACAGCAATTTCTTCCAGACAACCAATGAATGGACAGGATTGCACGAATATGACAAAGGCAGGGGAAATTGGTGTGATAGAGAAAAAAAAGAGGTAAAAAAGAATAAACAGAAGAACAAGAATAACATATATATATACACATACACATACTACAAACATATATACATACCAAAAATAAAATACATATATATTGAAGTATTTAATTAATTAAATAATATCGATATGCTTCATATAATATTATATTAAAATATATATTAAATAGTGAAGTTATAATTTAAAGTGCGAGGTAATCATTCTTAACTAGTTTTTTAAATACCGGTAGGGATGGTGCGCGATTTACTGACAATGGGAGTTCATTTCATAAATGAACGGCATGTACAGTAAAAGACTTGTTCATAAATTTTCTAGTGTATAGTGGCAAATTCAACTTCAAGGGGGGGATGAATCGCTCGCGTCCGTAGGCTTCGACCACCTAATCCTAGGCCCACCCTACACGTGCCCCCCGGGTGGTGCTTAACGAGCGACAAAGCCGATAGGATAGACTCGGCTCCTCGCCGTATGGTAGCGGCGTAAAATCTACCACCCCTTAGTTCGCACCATAAGCCAAGAAATAAAAGAAATGTCCCCGAATTCCCGGCGCCCCTTTAATGTTGCAGGAAAATGAATATATTATTATGTTAGGAGATTTTAATGGAAGGGTTGGGGTAAAGAGGTCTGGTTATGAAAGGATATTAGGAACGTTTGGCGATGAAAGAATAAATGAGAATGGTGAAGACCTCCTCACCGTATGTGTGGAAAAGAATATTTTTGTGGCGAACACTTTCTTTCGCCATAAGAGGATTCACATGTATACATGGGAAAGAGGGGATTTTTTTGTTATAGGAGAGGGGGCAAACGAGCATGCGGCTCACCTGATGGTAAGTGACTACCGCCGCCCATGAACAACTGAAACACCAGGGAGGGAATTACAGATGCGTTGCCAGCCTTTTAAAAAGGAGTACGCTCTTTTCTTGAAGGTCCCTAAGTTGTATCGGTCCGGAAAAATCGCTGATGGTAATCGATTCCACAAGGAAGTCGTGCGAGGAAGAAAACATCTAAATCGCACAGTGGTGGACCGCCAATCATCCAGATGGTGTGGACGGTATCGGGAGTTCTGCCGCGATGTGCGTTCGTGAAATTTGGCGGCTGGGATTAATCCGAACAATTCTTCAGAGCACTCCCCGTGGTAGATGCGAAAGAAAATGCAAAGGGATGCAACATCTCTTCGCAGTGCCAATGAATCGAGCCGATCAGAAAGAATTCGGTCGTCGACGATTCGAGCCGCTCTGCGCTTGATGCGGTCAATTGGAAGGAGCTGGCACTGGGGAGCCCCTGCCCAGAGATGAGAACAGTATTCCATGTGAGGCCGAACCTGCGCCTTGTAAAGTTGCAGGCGGTGTGCCGGCATGAAATACTATCCCGATCTGCTGAGCACGCCAAGCTTTTTAGAGGCCAATTTGGCCTTTTCTTCCAAGTGACCACGAAACTGCACGTCACTCGATTTGTCGACGCCGGGGATTTTGATACTGGCTGAGGCAACAAGGGGAGTACCTTGAAACTGAGGAGATACGACAAAGGGGTTCTTAATTGTGGATGAAAGAATGAGGAGCGCTGTGGTAGATGCAAGTGTTTACCGGGGTGCGTTACAGCGTATAAGAATAGAGAGGTTACAAGATGAAGGTGTGAAAGAGAAGTATAAATGCAGACTGAGGGAAAATATAAGTGGGTTGAATGAATTGCGTATGAATGATTTAGACTTGGAGACTGTGTGGAATAATATTAAGAAAGGTTTGGTGGATGCAGTCACCGAAGTATGTGGTGTAAGTAAGAGAACGAATGAAAAGAAAAGTAATACTTTGTGGTGACTGGAGACTTTAGACGTATAAATAAGAGAGTAAAAGAAGTTGTTGAAAGGAAAAAGCAAGAAACGATAGATAAGAATGATAGAAGGATATCTGATAACTTCCAGGAAAATATTAAAATCTTCTGGAAACTCGTAAGAACGAGACGAGAATGGCTGCATGCTGAATGATGAAGTTTCGAATATAAAGAGATGGAAGGAATACTTTGAAAGCGTGTTTAAGAGTGAAGAATCGTCTGAAGTAAGTGAAATAGAAATTCCGGAAGAAGTGGAGAGAGGTAGGGAGATAAGTGTAGATGAAATAATGAAAGCAATGAAAATCATGAAAGCAGGTAAGGCAGCCGGATATGATAGAATATCACTCGAAATGCTAAGAGCTGGAGAGGGTGTGGTTGCAGGCCTGCTGTGCACCTTGTTTAATTTATGTTGGGAACTAAAGCGGGTACCGGAAGCCGTTATAGTCCCAATATATAAGGGAAAGGGCTCGCAGCAGGACTGTAAAAACTACCGTGGTATCAGCTTGCTTAACATTGTGGGTAAATTGTATGCTAAGGTGTTAATTGAGAACGAGTTATGGAAGAAACTGATGGAAAAATTTGGGATGTGCAAGCTGGATTTAAATAGGGGATGGAGTGTACAGATCAAGTCTTTTCCATGCGCATGATTACGGAGAAGTTTTTGGCCAAAAACCAGAAAGTTTTTTGTGCGTTCATGGACTTGGAAAAGGCTTTTGACAGAGTGGACAGGAATATGTTATGGCAAACACTGAACTCATTTAGGTTGAGCGCTGGCTTGATACGGGCATTAAGGTATCTTTATAGGAACTCTAGTGCTTGTGTCAGGATCAACGGGGCCTACTCGGGCTGGTTTGGCATTCATAAAGCTGTCATACAGGGATTTCTGGCTTCTCCGTGGCTGTTTAACTTATTTATGGACAGTTGTTTGCAAACTTTGAAAGTTGAAGAATGTGGGTTGAGGATGGGTGAGTTAACCGTCAAATGCCTTTTGCACGCCGATGATCAAGTCATATTTGCATCGTCGGCGGCCGAGTTGCAAATGATGGTTACTTTAATGAACTGGTCATTGAAAGAAAGGGGTATGAAAGTGAACGCAAGTAAGACGAAAGTGATGGTTTTTGAAAGAGAAGAAAGTAAAACGTTATGTGATATGATATAAGAATAGAAGGGGAGTTGATTGAGCAAGTGGATGAGTTTGTATATTTGGGATGTTTATTTAGCAGGGATGGTAAATATGATAAGGATATAGAACGACGAGTGAACGCAGGAAATAGAGTGAATGGGGCTCTACACGCTATTATGAGGAGTCAGAATGTGTCAAATAAGGCACGTATGGCAATTCATAATGCTGTGTTAGTCCCTACTGTAATGTATGGTAGTGAAAGTTGGGTCTGGCAGAAGTATGAGAGTAGAATAAATGCTGTAGAAATGCGGTCCTTAAGGAGTATGCTAGGACTGAATCTGAATGACAGGGTGAGAAATAGTGTGATAAGAAAAAAGTGTGGTTTGCAAGATGACGTTGTGACAAGGATTAAGAAAGTGGTTTGGCCATGTAGAAAGAATGAACGAGGAAAGAGTGACAAAGCAAATTTATGTTGCACAAGTGAATGGCAGGGTCGGGAAGGGACGTCTTAGACGAGGGTTTATTGACCAAATTTGCGATATATTAAAAATGGGCCAGATTAGGAGTACCCTTAACCGACGAACGTGTATGCGTAGATATATGGATGTAAAGGAGGCGAGAGAGGTGTGTCAGTATCGCCCCAAATGGAAGTCCGTAGTCTCTGCCTACCCCTCTGGGTGACAGGCGTGAGTGTTTGTGTGTGTGTGTGTGTGTGTGTGTGTGTGTGTGTGTGTGTGTGTGTGTGTGTGTGTGTGTGTGTGTGTGTGTGTGTGTCAACTTCAAACTCTCTGCTGATCTTAAGTTACGCGAATGGGAATCACGACGAAACTCAAAATGATTTTTGAGGTAAGAAGGGTTAAAGATAACACTATAGAGAAGATGAAGTATGTGAGCATTCCGATGAAGTCGTATTGGCAACTACTTGAGCTTAGTACGGAAAAGAGAGACATGGTCATATTTGCGCAATCCAAATATAAACCTTATAAAAAATTCTGAATTCGCTCAAGTTTATCGAGCTGAGTTTCGATGAGATCTAGATAGCTGACGTCTGCGTAGTCAAAAATAGGGAAGAGAAGGGACTTGGCAAGCATAGTTACTTTCCACTTACTATCCACATCATTAATTTCCCTTTGTTGTATAACTAATAGCTTACGCTATACGGTACATTAATTTTGGGGTATGCCGTGAGAGTGCGACTGATTCGAAATTCCGAACTAATTTCGTCATATAGCTAAATTAACTAAGATTTGGCCGCATGTGTCCAAAGTTTTTGGTAGGATTTTCCCCATCAGTTATTCTCACATAGTTTCGATCATTAATAAGCAGGGAGTATCATGCGCTGTACGTGGTAAAGCCACACAGCGTCCATCCGATCCATCTACGCTGCAATGTGACTACAGCGTAGACGGTTTGCAACGATCGGGGAAGGACCACGCACGAACAGAATATCAGCGTGAAAAGCAGCTATATCTTTAATGCTGATGTGTTTCGTAAATGTGTAATGTGTTCGGCAGGCGACGAAAACGGCAAAACCTTCTTTCTGGTAAATTTACGGTGTGGACATAGCGGTTGTGGGGTTTTATTCTGTAAGAGCCTTACATAGTCTCCGTCATATCCCCGCTAGACAGTTATATATAACGTAAGGCATTCTCAAAGAAAAAGTATTCCTTCTTACACTCAATCAAATCATACAGAATGGGAATGGTACATAGTCATTTAGAATAATAATAATACACAAACATAACGATGTACTTGTAAACGTATCTACTACAGGCAAACAGAGACATTAGATCTAACGTTCACCTTAAACAATGTAAGAGATATCCAGGCCCAAAAACCAACAATTTGTGTTTATATTTAAATAGTTTATAGTTGCATCAGATTCTATTGAAAAGTTAACTGCGTAAAATTTGTTTTAATCAAAGTGAGTGTCTGTGAACACTGTGATGCGCTTACAGCAAACAATCCAATATCATACAGCTTAACTAACATCGATCACGATTCTTAACGCCTTATTATACTACCAAACGTTTTTTAAAGTTTATTGGACCTTACTTGAAGTTACAACACCATGCAGCCTTCTAGTGATGGTGGCGTTTGCAGTGGCGTTGATCTCATGTGTTTTAACAGAACACATGGCACGAGCCTCTTCCCTCGGCCCGACGCCATGATACGTCGCGTTGTGAACCTCGATGTACGGCTGCTTGCCATTCTCAGGGCTGTTGCTTATTGTGTAATGTGGTCCGCGTACTGTGAAAAATAATTACCTGTTAATGTCCGGCAATGAAATTTTAGGTACCCATAAAAAAAGTAGAAAAAAAAACAGATAAGCATTTGTTTCTTTACGATATTTTATCGCCGCCACATAGAAATCAGTAAATCTTTTATTAGTTATTAATAACCGCAGGCAACACTGAGTGTCGAGATCTATAGAAAATGGATTGTTTGCGAATGAAATTCAACTAGCCCTAAGCTATAACGATAACCACGACGCCCTAAAAAATCATAAGTCTGAAGTTATTGGAAAGGCTTTGCCTTAATCTAAAAATACTTAGTGTAGAAATAGCTTTGTCCTATATCAGGCAACTTGTGTTTGCCCCGTGGCAAGTTTTTTAATAAAATTAGGGTGACAAAAAAGCACACAGTCTACCTGATGGTAAGTAGTTGTTGTGGCCCATAGACATCTACATCTATCCTCGATTACGAATCAAAATGCAGATGCGTTGTCACCCGTGAGGACTAAGATGGAATGCCTCGTTTGTACAACCGACTTCAATATAAAAAATAATTTATTGTAGATTTTTTTTAGAAAAGTCCCCTCGACCGATTTCGATCAAATAAAAACGTGAACACCTGGAAATGACACCCTTTGAAAAAAAAAGGATTTTCCAAATCGGTTCAGGCGTCTTCGAGTAATCGGTGAATATACATAAAAAAAGATTCCGACGAATTGAGAACCTCCTCTTTTTTTGAAGTCGGTTAAAAAGTAAAGTTACAGTCTATATACTAGAGATATAGTATAATATATTAGAAGATAATATAGCTGACGTTGATTTTTAAATTTTCATTAGATCTCATTACAACACGGAAGTAAAAGAAAGAGATACTTACTATCAATATTAGGTCCTTACCTACATATGAAATTGGCGTTTGTACGGGAGGAATTTAAAGCCAACTTTTTTTTTGTAAAATATATTTAATTAATCAAAGTATGCACCGTTGTTATCTATGCACTTTTGCCATCTCATAGGTAGTTCATAGATTCCTTTACTAAAAAAACCACGGGGGCGAGAATCAATAAACTCTTTGAAGGCGGTTTGGACTGACTGGTTTGTATGCTTTTTCTGAGTCAATTTTCGTTTATGGCAGGATTTGGCTGGGTCTCCAGGGTTCAGTCATTGCAACGAGCGCTTCCGATTATCGTACAGTATCCACTTTTCATCACAAGTAATGATTCAATTTAAAATCCCTTTATTATTGTGTCGGTTGAGCAAAGTAACACACCAGTCGACTCGTGTTTGCAAGTTCGATTCACTCAATTCATGAGATACCCATCGTTCAAGTTTTGTTACTTTCCCGATTTGCTTCAAGTGGATTAATACAGTTTATCACTTACCCCGAAGCCTGCAGCTATCTCTGAAGTGCTTTGTGATGGATCCGCTTCCACAATAGCCTTTAATTCTTCATTTACCACTTTGGTCTCTGGCCGTACACAGGGTTGGTTCTGAGGGTCGAAATTTTCAGAACGAAAACGTTGAAACCAAAAACGTACCATACTTTCTTTTGCGACACCAGCGCCGACAATAATCCTTCGAGCTGTTTCTGCAGCACTGGTGCCACGGTAGAACTCGTACTCGTAAATATACCGATATTTTATGTTTTCCATTGTGCGGTAATAAGCGACGCTAAAGAAAAAAATAATGAGGAAAAAACAAATGAATGACTGTTTGCAACACTCAAATGTACCAGTTAAATAAATTTATAAATTTGAATTTGGAGTTCTTAACCAAAGAGGAGATATTTCAGATCAAAGTGGTCGGTACGACAAAACGCTAATTTCATATCTAAGGACCTAATATTGTACTACTGATAACTGAAGTACACACTCGCAACTTCAAAGTAAATATTTTAGTCCTTCATTAAAATTAAAAATGTAGTAAAAATTATTGAGCAACATGAATCCTACGAGTGCTGATAAATTATTCACCGTTGAATGATTACGCTCGGCCCGTATCCTATTGACACAGCCAATCACTGAAAGCACAACTACTGAAAAAAATTGATCAATTAAACAGAAGCTACTCAATTCAAGTCAATTCTAATAACCTAAACGTACTGCTCAGTGCATAATATCAACCGAGATATGGCAAACAAAATGTATTACTTTTGTAAGAATACATTTTGTTTTCTTAGTTCTTTGTTGTTGTTTTTTTTTTGTATAAATTTTATCTTCTATTTAAAATCTACAAAAATATTTTAAATCTAAAGCAGAATAGAGTTTAAAATTTGGTGAGCATGGCGTATATTGTATTCGTTTCATATGATGTACTTTGGAGAAAGATGGAGTACAGGGGTATTCCATCGGAGATGATCAATATCTTTCGTTATTGGTATGCAAACCAGACCAATCAAGCTAAATGGTCAAGCAATCTCGCCGAGTCGTACAGGTTGGAGTGCGGAGTAAGGCACGGAGAGTTATCGTCTCCGAAGCTCTTCAACCGGTATATTAACGATCTCTTGGTGGAGCTCAGCAGCATGCGTGATGGATGCCGCGTGGATGGTGTTAGTATCAATAGCATCAGCTATGCGGATGACATGGTGTTGCTGAGTCCCACTGTGAATGCGATCGGAGAACCTGGCAAGTCTTATGCTGCCTCGCAAGGTCTTGTAAACAACATTAATTAAAGTTAATATATGTTCTTTAGGGTCGCCGGTAAGTGTCCCGAATCTATCCTTGCAATAATCTTAAATTAATCGGAACTAAAGCGGGTTTATCTATTTAAATACCTGGGGCATATTCTTGCCGACGACCTTAAAGATGATCTAGACACAGAGAGGAAGCGTAGGGCTTTGGCGATACGCGGCAATATGTGGGCACGTAGATTTGCCCGCTGTTCGGACCAGGTTACCTTATTCAAAGCGTATTGCCAGGGTCTGTACACGGGCGGTCTGTGGATCAGGTATGCCAAAAAATCGTAAAACGCCCTGCGAGTCCAGTACAATAACGATTTCAGGATGATGTTGGCATTTCCCCGCTTCTGTAGTGCCTCTGGCATGTTTGCACAGACCCTAACGGACGGTTTTCATGCCGTAGTTCGGAAAAAAGTAGCGTCACTGATGGGAAGGATACGAAGAAGTGACAACAGCATCCTGAGAACGGTGGCAGATGATCCGTATGCGCCTATTGTGAGGCATTTCGTACGAACGATGACTCGTACAGTGGATGGTAATTTTTCTAGGTGGTGACCGCACGGAGTGCCTCTTAGGTACATGACAAATTTAATCTAATTTGATTTGATTTGATGATTAATTTAATTCAAATATAATTTAATATTTTCAAAATACTAACACATAGTTTTTAAGGGTCAATGTAATACTAACCCATGGATCCATTTTATTTCAAGAAATGAATTTGAATTCGAATATTAAGTGTGAGACAATAAGTAAAATCGACAGGAAACCAGCATGTTTAAGGAATAAAATACTTTAAAGTCATGTGAGGGCTGCCAACATGCACTGGAGCTGGAGGTGGACTAATGCCTCCATAATCTCCGAAATAAGAGGGTCATATAATACAACTGTAACTTTAATTTTGTTAAAAATATAAAGAATAGACTGTGCAATAGACTTTGTCTGGCTGACCGCTAAGTGAAATTTTGTCTCGCTGCTCTCCTGATAACGCCTTGTTTAGAGACAATACACGTGTCGACGGTGGTGTATCTTTCTTAGTGTTCGCTATTGCGAGGGCGAGAGGACTCATAAAACTCGGTAAAGCTATTGAGTTATATGTACTACGTACTAGAGAAGCCATTCCAAACAAAAATTGTGTCCTACTCTATGTATGCGCGACTACTACTCCCGCGCATGCGCGAAGACTTTAATATAAAATAAGATATTAATATAAAATAAATATAAGAATTTAATATAAAATATCTTAATTTAATCTTAACAAACATATTTCTAAATAAAATGTAATAATAATTATTTTATGGAATTCACAAATCTTCAATTTACGCAATATTTATTTTGTATGGATTGCACTACAGTTCGGAATGGCTTCTCTAGTACGTAGTACATATAACTCAATGGGTAAAGCACATCATTTTTAGTGTTTTCACGCGGACCATTTTTAATTTAATAGATTTCCGCAAAGTAACTCCTGATTCTATTAATGATTTTTTGTGTTTTGTTCATACGTTATTGCTGTATCAAAACTAGAATTTTATAGAGATTTATTAAACACTATTTACAAAAACATAAAGTTTTGTCTGTAATTCTGAAAAACTCACTTTTTTATTCCTGAAGCATATTATAACTATGCTAAATTTTAATCATCTACGTCAAAGAGTCTGTGCGATTTCCTGTGAGAGACAGACATAGAGACACATACACTTGGTGATCCAATTTGCTAATTTTGACACGAAGCGAGTGATAATATTCCTAAATTGAAGCCCACGCGAGCGAAACCGCGGGTAAAAAGCTAGTTTAAGATATTTCGACAAATTACCGCAGATTATGGGTTTCCACGTAACTCGTAACATCTAAGCACTATCCATCGTATTACCGATAAATTTAACTTTATGAAATAAACATTAACCCAAATTGCCTTATAGTCGTGATTATGTGATATTATAAAGTACCTAAGCCCTACGTACACATTGTGAAACGAATGGTGAATTAAATCAATATAAAATTAATATATAAGGTCGGAGAAAAAGTTTCTTCGTATTTTATATACAAATTTAAGACTTTTTTAACTTTAATTACATTTAATTATAATATATATGTGCCATTTTGTTCGATAACTTGTTGCCATCTTGTAGGTAGTGACATAATCCCGTTGCTGTAGAAATCATGGGATTATTGATCAAAAATTGCGAAAAGTAGTTTTGACAGTCCTCTCTTGATGTTAACCTAACACCACCCAAAGAATTCTGAAGAGACCGAAACAGGTGAAAATCTGAAGGTGCAAGGTCGGGACTATATGATGGCTGCATTAACACTTCCTAACAAAGCTCTCTCAATTTTTGCTGAGTGGCCAAACATGTGTGCGGTCTGGCGTTATCATGATGAAAGACCACTCCTTTTCTATTGACCACTTCCGGCCGTTTTTTCTCAATTTCTCGCTTGAGTCTCATTAGTTGTTGGCAGCAGAGATCCAAATCGATGGTTTTGCCCGATAAAAGCTCATAATAAACGATGCTCTTCCAATCCCACCATACACACAGCATCACCTTATTGCGTGTTAATCCGGGTTTCGCTACAGTCTGTGGAGTTTGACTACCCTTTGACCATGATCTTTTTCGCACGTTTCTGTCGTAGGTGATTCACTTTTAATCACCAGTGATCACACTTTTCAAAAATGGTTCGGTTTCATTAGGTTTCAATAGAGAATCGCAAATGAAAGAGATTCATTAGGTTTCTTTCAGTGACCTCGTGTGGTACCCAAATATCGGGGTTTTTTTGTATAGCCCGACTTTTTCAAATGGATCAATACTATTTTGTGGTTAATTCCTGATTCCACGGCTATGTCGTTACTACTAATATGCCGAGCTTGCTCCACTTTTTCAAAAAAGGTATCGACCTTATCCGTATGAGGGCGACCAGAGCGAGCTGCATCTTTGACATCAAAATTCACGGACTGAAAACGCTTAAGTTCACAATTTTATAACCTATATAAATGAAGGTTGTGGCAATTGAGAATAGTTTAAGGCAATAACATTAATTTAAGGGAATAAACGGTACCAGAAAAAGGTATGTTGAAATCTTAGGTGAATCAACTTTGTGTTACTCTTACTGACACTGCATTAGGTCCATTAATATCACAATTTTTTTGCGTCTTGAGTCGCATTTTTCCCTTTGTTGTAATTAAACTTCAGAATGTATCGATTTTCTTCGTTAGTTTCACGCATTTTGGCGGACAGAAAAATAATTGAAAAATGGCGGGAAAGTGTTTTTTTAATTATATTTCTTTTCCTTAATATCCTTTATTTATTAATATTAAAACAAACAGTACAACCAAAGAGATTTTTCTTCAATTTTATACAAACATAATACGAGGGAACTTTTTCCTCGACCTCTTAATATACTATTTAAAAAATATATTTTTATTTAAAGTATATACCCAAATATTTTATACAATTAAACATTTCATATTAAACTCTATTATTTGTAGTGAGGTCTATATTTTTACCACGTTTTTATTATCCTAATAGATAGTAGTAATAACTTCCTAATATCCTAGTCTTGCAATTTTGAAAACAGCTCAGAATCAGATGACTATGTACCAATAAGAAAAAAATATTATATTAAAAAAATTATACATAATTTTTAAAAATTTCAATGTTTCATCGTGGAAATGCGAAGTAAACAAAATGTTTAATTTAATAAAAGTAAAAAATATAATTATTTCCACAATCATTTCATACTCACAGTAAGAATTGGTGGGAGCGGCACTGACAATTGTAAACATTGTATAAAACAGAAATAACAACAATACTGCAATGCGCAACATTTTAATCATTTTGAATTTATTACACACTCAGTACGCTTGTGGCACAAGTCAAAAATTCATTTTTATTTTCGTAATTAAACTTTTTATAGTTTTGAAAAAAAATACAAATAACTCGATGGCAGATTTTTACGTCACCTCATGTGAGTGAGTGGTTGAGATCAGCGCGGGAACTGAACGAAATGAAATCTGTGTGAGGAGAATAAATAGTAACGAGTCACAAATTTCCGGCTCCAAATATTCTGCCTAAAGTAATTGTACCTGCCCAATGAATTGTTGATATTTTAGTACATACATATACCTGAGATCACATTTGTGTATGGACAAATTGTGAGGACGATTCGTCATAGAGTAATTAATTTGCTAAAAACCTATTTTACTTTTATAAATAAAGAAACACTTTATTTCGGCACAAACCATTGACTTGAACAACTATAATAAATTAATAACATAAAATAGGTGAATTTATTAGTTTCACTTTGTTAATTCGTAAGACATGCCAAAAAAGCTTAAGTTGTGGTGATTTTCAGTCATGACCAAAACCTTGGAGAATCCAGTCATTAAATTAATAAAGTAATGAAACTTTTAGGAAAAAAAATTAGGTATATGCGTGGCTGTCAGGCGTGTTACTTTCATCCTATTTACTATTATAAAAAAAAATATAGTGTTATAAAAAAATTGTACAATTTATTTTTGAGAGAGTAAAAGAACAATTAGTCCACTGCACTGCTCTAGTGTGTACAGACAATTTTATTTCTCAGACATGCAAGTTTCAACAGAATTATTTAAAAAAAAATAGTGCCAGATCAAGCGTTTTTTAACGTTTTAGCGTCTAGCGTTAAACCTACCGCAGCAAGTCTTTATACGTGGTAGAGCCATGCGGCAGCTATATTCGTAGTATAGTTGTAGCACGAATGGGTCTGCTCGGCCGGGAAAGGACCACGCTCTCACAGAATACCAGCGTAAAATATCAGCTTAACACTGCTGTGTTTCGTATGGTGAGTGTAAAGGAACGGAGACCCTTTTTACTGGAAAAGAGGCATTCCATGTTAGTCCTTACGGGTGACAATGTATCTGCATTTCGATTCTTTATCGAGGATAAATGTACATGTCTATGGGTCACAGCAACCACTTATCATTAGGTGGAATGTATGCTCGTTTGTCACCCTAACCTATAAAAAAAGTTACAATGAATCACCAGCCATACACTTTCCATTAGGTGGAATGTGTGCTCGTTTGTTACCCTATCCTATAATAAAAAAAGTTACAATGAGGCACCAGCCATACGTTTTATAAGGTGGTAGGTACCGGTGTCTTACTTATTTCTGCCGCCATATATATAGCACTGCTTGCACTGTTGTGTTCCGGTGTGAAGGGTATAAGAAATTGTACCTGTCAGTATAATTACAGGCTATCATCATCATCATTACAGCCTTTCAAGTCCACTGCTGAACATAGGCCTCCCCCAAGGAATGCCACAAAGCACGGTCCTGAGCCACCTGCATCCATCGACTTCCTGCATGTCTTACCAGGTCTTAATTACAGGCTATGAGGCATTCCACCTTAATCCTCTGAGATAACAACGCACCTGTAGCAGTCTATGTTTCAAGTTGGCTCCAGGTGTCCATGGGCTGCAGTAGTCATTTACCATCAAGGCGACTCTAAGGCCCGTATTAATAAACGTTAGTCAACGACGAACTCAATTACGTAATCAATTGATACTCCCTCATTACGATATCAGCATTTCAAGATCGTTGCCAATTAATAAACACATAAAAACAGTATCTCAAAACGCTGTGCTTAGAGCTGTGCTTAGCTTCTTACGTGGTAGAGCCATGCTATATGAGATAGAGCCAGCTATATTAATAGTATAGTTGTAGCACGAATGAGTCGGCTCGACCGGGGAAGGACCACGCTCTCACAGAATACCAGCGTACAATAGCAGCTTAATGCTGCTGTGTTTCGTATGGTGAGTGTAGAGAACCGGAGACCCATTTTACTGGAAAAGAGGGATTCTATCTCAGTCCTCAAGGCTGACAACGCATCTGCAATTTAATTCGCAAACGAAGATAGATGCAGATGTCTATGAGCCACAGCAACCACCTACCATCAGGTGGACTGTGTGCTTGTTTGTCACCCTAATTCTATAAAAAAAAAGGAATACTGTTCTGTGACTTGCACTCAAGTATACACACTTCAGAGTCGAGTTTCGTATATTAATCAGTGTGGCACTCAGCTGATATCGTAAACCTAAACCACATCTTGAAATATATTTATTAACTAGCTGTGCCCGCGGCGTAGCTCGCGTATACAGGTTTTACATAAACAATTTGTCGTTTAGGTAAGAGAATATTAAACGATTTATTTCATTACTGTATCAATAAGTGGTAACTAAATAAATCATTATCATCAAAGTTCTAAGTCGTTTATGATAGAGCTTCTGTGTAAACGACGTGAGAAGTAGGCTTAGCCGGGGTGTACACTAAAAGGTTACGGGGGCTACTAACGCGGGAAAAAGCAACATAGAGTTGGCCATGTGCAAAACAGTCAGTACTGAGGTACACTCCTACAATGCGTAAAGTTTGACCTTGCGCTTTATTTACGGTCATCGCATAACACACGCTCACTGTAACTGGGAACTGAACGCGCTTAAAACTGAAAGGAAAGTTACTTCTTAATAGAGGGTTTTGGGCAGTGCTGCCAGATAAAAAAAACTAATTCAGCTCTAGGAAAACACAAAAAGCGCTAGATTTCATGAAAACAGCGCTTTAAAAAAGCCCTAGATTTCGCGCTAAATTAACTACAAACAAAGTTTGTGTTTTTTTATATAATCATAATAAAGAAAACAACATTAAGTTTTTTTTCTGGCAATATTTTTTTGATGTATCAATACTTCGCAGGAACTCGACTTATAATTATGACAATTGCTGTCAACAGTAGTTAGTACTGTACGAACAATAAAAATGTCATTAATTGTTTTAAAGTGCAATGTATTTCGCAACTTAGTTTCAGATGTCAGCATCTGATTGCGGTTGCTACGCAGTTTCTTTGTGTTATAACTTCTAAGTAACTTTTAACTTAGCTGTGCTCTAAGCAACTGACTGAAACTGAATAAAGCAAAATAAATGCGTTGCCAAAACCATGAACAAAAACTTTAATAAAGGGGTTTCCCCGCTTATAGTCGTCGGTAAAAAAATCAAGTTGATCATCCTAAAGGGGAAGCCAGGAGATCCATAGCACAGGGTATCCTAGTTTGGACTCGTCTCCCATGCTCTTTGTTTTGTGGAAAAAATATGTTTGAAAAAGATAAACTGCAATGTACTATTTGTGGGAAAAAATAATAAAGGTCATTATTATTATTATCGGTAATGTGGACTAACAGTGCTGCTATAAAAGAGTTAATAACCCGCTAGTCGCTAAAATATTGAAATGTGTGCTAAATACACCAAAAAGCGCTGGATTAAGCTAGGGCTAAAATTTCGAAATGCGCGCTATACATTCCAAAAAAGCGCTAAATCTAGTTCCCAAAGCGCTAAAGTGGCAGTACTGATTTTGCGTATATTATAAATACAATATCACGACATTTCGTTGCACAATTTTTATTTTTGGTCGGATTCCGTTGTATGGCTTCGATGGATACAAATTTCTTCAGTAAGTCTCAATACGATTCATCGGCGAAAAATCTCAACACAGCAATTCAGAAAAGTTTGTAATTTGTACAACTCCATCTATTACGTCCTTTGTGTGAGAAAACATCCTTTTTAAATCTCTTTTTGTGTTTTAAGTATAAATATATTAATTATTATGGAACGTTTTTTTTACACACAAATCTTTTTATTACTATTTCTGAGATTTTATGGCGCCATTGAACAAATTCGAACCTACATTTCAAAATAATAATCATTACTTTCGATAGAATTAACCAATTTTAATAAAACAAAGATTAAATGTAACTCGAAGATACGCTTTATGATTTTCTTAACGATTTCTTTGAAAATAAAAGATGTTTACTTTAGACGTGATGCGTTCATATAATAACAAACAAATAGACATACAGACAATTCTAAAAATTATAAAATGTTCTTATTTAATTATTTTCATTTCCCCATAATTTTAGCCACCAAAATATATACCTATACAATGTACAGAAAGAGACACAATATGTTATCATCATTTTTAATATATGTATATATTTAAAGAGAGATGGCGCTGCTAACATCAATTCTTAAAATAAAAGAGATTTATGAGGGCTAATAATCTTCCACTCACCAGATGTCGCTAGTTGTGACTGAGGTAAAATTTTTTGTTACACAATGTCAGTTAATTGAGAAATTAGTTTTAAATAATAGTTTATCATTATCTAGAGTATTATATTAATACACAACACAATGCGTCAGTGGTTTGATTTTTAATTTTTTTCACATTATAACTTTTTTTTAAAAAGTCGTCTTTTAGTTATATTTATAGTTTGGTTTATTCATTTCTAATGTAATTAATATAAAATATAACTAATAATACATAAAGAAACCTTAAAGATTACATTTTCCTAAGAAATTATCATCCCCGCTATGAAATCTGTCAAATATTTTACCTTACTCTAAAGTGGCGCCGCCCTGGTGGCAGAAAAAGTCGTGGATGCCCTCATTGACGCGATTGATACATTATATAAAACGCAAGAGTACTTATAAATCAGTGCCTGCACAGTAAGCAAAAAATAAAGTTTGACTCTCGCCAAAACCAACGATTTGTTAATAGCTCTTTTAAAATTTGATTTACCACATAGAGTACTCGGCGGTAAAGAATAAATTGAGTTTATCAACACGCAGTAGGGCAGCGAGTAATATAATAAAGATTAGCAGTAAATATGAAAACTCATCTACAGGAAAAAAAAACATTGCAATTGCATTACATTTTCACAACACCACCATCTATCGAAGAAATGGGAAAACTATTGTGCTTCAGATTTAGTTAATAAGGTTAATATATTTTTGTATAATATATTTAATACGTTTTTTAATACTTTTGTTTACTGCGTTTTAGATATACATAATTATATCATTATTTTACATAATTTAACTATGATTTATGATATGATATTAGTTTAAAATGCACCTGATGACTCAAACAAAGCCACCGTTGAGCAAATTCGTACCTATACTTCCATACCCATACTTCAGAATATTTATCATAACTTTTGATGGAATGATCTGATTTTAATGAAATAAAGACTAAATGTAACCCGAAGATACACTTTGTAATTTCCTTAACAATTCTTATGATATAAATTAGTACTTTATACGTGATACGTTAACAAACAAACAGACAGACAGACAGACAGACAGACAGACAGAAAATTCTAAAAATGGTAGAAATGTATTTAATTACTTATTTTTAGTACCCCTCAATCACTTTTATTACAAAAATATAAAATGTACAGACATCTGCTATTTACAGTTTTATTATATGTATAGATAAGATCATAACCTCAAGATTGTACTCAACGTTTATTAATACGGGCCCTTCTTGCTGAAATGAATAAGGTACAGCATCGCAATGATGCCGTAACACATCGTGTGGCTTCAGTCTTAAAATCACATATAATTCACGGTCATAACGAAAATAAAAAAAACCAGAAGGTGTCTAGAACGATAAACAGACGCTGTGCTGTAATGAAAAGACATCGCCCTTTTCACTTTTTCTATGAAAGAGGACGCAAACGAGCATGTTGCTCACAGGGTATGTGATCTTCATCATCATAAACATCTGCAACACCAGGGGAATTTCGACGTTTTCGCGTTGCCGGCCTTTTAGTAAGAGTATGACTTTATCAATTCATCCAGATAATTATCAGCCCACAAAAACCCTCTTCTGGATATTGGTGGGACCTATATCTGGTAGAGGACGATAATGGTTTCTCGTTCTTAAAAAGTTTTCAATACCAAATTGCCTCGTTTATCTAGTGATTGTAAAAGCGACTGCTGATCATGAGATTCCGAGTTCGAATCCCGGGTCGGGCCAAAAAAACTCGTTATGAGTTTTTCCGTCAAGAAATTCTCAGCAGCCCGGAGCCAGGAAGTTGGCCGTGTTTCATCCCCGTGTTAGTACAAACTTTTGATTTTATTTTAGTTCCAAATGCCTTCAGTGATAAAATTAGTTTTTTATAGAGTCCTATTCTATCCTTTTAAAAATTAGTATTTATCTATGGTGTCCATAAATAAATAATAAATAATAATAATTTCTGACGATGAATCGATTAAACCAAATCAAGGCAAAAAAATTAAAATGAATTGAATAACTCAATTCATTTTAATTTTTTTTTTCAACTTTCATACACCGCTTTTCAAAATAATTAACTTGAAAAAGTTAACGACGGAGATTTAATGTGCCGTAAGACATCACAAATGTAATGAAGCGTGTACTAAGTACATAGATAATTAATTGCCGAATTGAAACGGAGTGGGAAGCGTAAAATTCTTGTCAGCGACAGGCTTGTATCGCACATGTCATTTAATTATGGTGTCGTGGCTTCCTTCAGTCATGCTCTACATACGCGATCAGTCACCGACCTATTTTTAAGATTGTGTATTTCGAGAGCCTAATACGTACACGGTACATACATACCAAATGTATGGTCCGTCTGTGTAAACACGCCAGACGGATTAAAAGATTTGACGTTATTAGAAATGCTGGAACGAAAAGTCTTTGGCCTTATTTCTAGTACCGTGGTTTAAAAAATTATGACTTGTTAAAATCTCAAGATTTGCAATCGTATTTGCGAGCCCAGTGTCAGTTTTTTTACACTAAAGCTTTTAAAGATACTTTAAGTCCTTTGTCATACAAGTACACTAAGATTTTCTCTTGAGTCTTGGATATGTTTTACATACATTAATTTCACATTGGCGAATATTTAGACCTAGAACAATTATTTGTAAGTCATATTTCTTACTTCCTTGCGGGATTCGAACCCGCAATCCGCGCCAAATGCTTGGCCACAGCGTTTACGATCCGTCAAACAGTGAAAAAAAATACAAAAGAAATAACTGACGACGAAACAGCGTCGTTTCTAACATAATTTACGCGTTACCACACAACGTTGAGAACTAATACTGGTGTAAACAGAGTTAATCTTGTGCTGTGACTCATTAGCTATAATTATTACGAGAACACTTTAAACACACGAGATAACACGTCTACGGAGCCTCAGAATTTTGCCGTCCTCATAAGGTAATGCCGAACCCATTGTGACCTTTCCACGGCAGCTATTATCAAATGTCTAAGATGGGAGCGCCGATATGCTAACAGTTGTATCGTTTAATACATTGTTGTAAATTATGTCAAGGACTCGAAACCCCATACAGCTCATGAAAGCCATTGTTGTTCAAGAGCCTTTATGATCATGGGAAAATTAAATTAATTAAACTACTCCGTACAATCGATGGTAGTTAAATGTAGCATGGAGTTTATAGAATATAGAAAGAGAAAATGTAATACTCAATACTATATTTCCATCCGGCTTTTGATAAAAAAAGTTTGTTTAAAATAACCCAATAGAAGAAGAGTTTAATTTGATTACACATGTCATTCTGTTAAATATAAATAAAAGAATCAAAAATTTGAATGTAACAAAAGCAGATGCATTTCTTCGTTGTTGCCGAGGTCACACAATAAAACAATAGTACTACCGATCTTCATAGGTGGTAGTGATTAGTCACTTACCATCAGATGAGCCACGTGTTCGTTTGTCTCCTCTTCTATAAATGAAATCATTTATTGAAACGGAGTTCTTCTCAATTCGCTTAAAATAATGAGGACCAGTGGATTTTTATAGTAAATAAGATTTAATTTGGCCGTGGTAGCTCGGATGGTTAGCGCTCGCTGTAAGTTTCACAGTACGCGAGCAACCCGGGTTCGATCCCGATTGGGGGATGAAGCTGCTCGCGTCCGTAGAAATTACTTGAATCCTGATTCCCTACACGTATCCCCTAGGTAGTGCTAAACGAGCAGTACTACATACTGTTAGCTCTACTAGTGAGAGGCCCGGTCGAGGTTTAGTTACCACTCACCTGGCAAAGACATACCGCTAAATGATGAAAATCGTGTTCCGGTATGATGTTAGGTGAAACCCATTTCTTAGGGAGAATGGGTCTGGACAGTTGCGTTGCGCATACGAACCGCTTGCAACGCGGCCATTTCTTAGTGTTAGGTGCCTGGTTATGGAGGTTAGCAGGATCCGAAGTACGGTTGCACCGCTGGCCGACCGTAGATAGTTGGGGGCCCAATTAATGAGCCAGCCACTCATGAAGGGCTGCCCCGCCATCTTACGAAAAATCCTGGGATGGCTCCACTATGCCGGTTGGCGACCGGAGGAGAGAGCCTGGTGGCGATTTCCAGGGGGTTCAGGCGTCCCCTCGATATCCATGCTAGGTACCATCGATGCTGTGACTCTGTTTACGTCCCTTATATATGTGACGCCTCGTCTAACTGCTATTTTCTCAACCTATGCACTTCCACAATTAATGAAAAAAAGGAAAAAGAAAGTAAGTGCGGTTTCACAGCGGTTGCTGTGCAAACTTACTTTTTTTGCACTCCCTCTCCATTAAAGTGCACCTCACAAACATCCGTGGCCTGCACTGTAATCTCAATGCAGTCCATTACCACCTTGAGACTGACAAGCCGCACTTACTCTTTTTGACTGAGACGCAATTCAGATGTCCTCTAGATGCGGCGTACCTTGGCTACCCTGGGTACACATTGGAACATAATTTCCTTCAGCGTGCCGGAGTCTGTATTTACGTCCGCAACGAAACCGGCTGTAAGCGTCTCCGTCACGTTGAAGACCCCACTTTTTCTACGATCTGGGTATTGATAGAAACAGGAATGGATAAAATCATTTATTCTTGTACCTATCTACCTATCGCACAACGGTGACCAGGAGACAACTAGGCTGTTTGAAAACCTGAGTGAAGACTCTAATGTGGCTCTAAATCGGTACCCTAATGAACAGTTGGTTTTTCGGGAGGACTTTAATGCCTGTCATCAGGACTGGCTGTTCCCATACCAGAAAACCGACCACGCTGGGAGAGAGGCGTGGAATATTGCCTTGTCGCTGGGGCTCTCCCAGCTGGTACAACAAGCGATTAGGGTACCTGATGTGGATGAGCACACAGCCAACAAGTGGTAGAGCCATGCTGCAGTTATATTAGTAGTATAGTTGTAGCACGAATGGGTCGGCTCGACCGGGGAAGGACCACGGCTCTCACAGAATACCAGCGTAAAATAGCAGCTTAACGCTGCTGTGTTTCGTATGGTGAGTGTAAAGAACCGGAGATCCTTTTTACTGGAAATGAGGTATTCCATCCTAGTCCTCACGAGTGACAACGCATCTGCATTTTGATTTGTAATAGAGGATAGATGTAGATGTCTATGGGCTGAAGCAGCCACTTACCATCAGGTGGACTGTGTGCCCGTTTGTCACCCTTATCCTATAAAAAATAAATAAAAATAAACGCTTGGCAGGTGGGTTGGCAAGCGCAGTTTTTTATTGTTTTGAGTAGTTATCAGGAAGATGCTGCTGCCCATCTCATGTTTCAATTTCCCTCTGTCGCCTCTTACGACACCCATGGGACGATATGGGGTAGTGGATATTCGTACACCGCCACTACACTGTACTCTCATAAACATCATGTTATTTTGCCTCAGAGCGGTGCGTTAGACCGCAGAGAGATGAACAAAGACAACAATACATATTTAGGTCAATAAACTGTAACCTAGATTAGAACAGATAAGACAATCCTGCTTTCGAAACCATGGTATAGATTTCGGTATCCTACAGATTAATCAATTAAGTCACGGACACCTTGAAGATATATAATCCATATGCGACTTTAATGAAACAGTTAAAATAAACTGCTTCATTGACAACATGAGATTCTTTGCTTTGTTTTTGCTAGTCACGCTGTTTTGTAGTGCTGTAAATACTGCTGGCGGTATGTAAATGCTATTAGAATATATTCTACAAAATGTTTTTTTTTTTCAAACTTAATTAGTGTGCCATTCATTTTTAATTTTGTAATAGGTAGCTGATAAAATTATTTAAGGTGAAAATATCGTTTTATTCCGTATTTGTCGTAGAACGTTTGATACTACGATATTTGTTTTCCTTAGGTATTCAACTGATTCGTATTCCTCATTCAACCTATTTGTATTAATCATTCTACCAACAGTTATTATTTGATTTTAAATTGTTATTTCACCTATAAGTATTCCTAACTCAACCGATTGCGAAACTATAGGTAAAAATACTAAGGCTTGTGTGTACGGTCTGCATAAAAACATAGTAATTAAATAAATTTCAAAATAATATATTTCGTTGTAAAATAAAACGTGATAAGTGGGGGATAATCTTATTACATACTAGCTTTTTACCCTCGGCTTCGCTCGCGTGGTCTTCAATTTAGAAATATCATTAAATGCTATTCCGTGCCGAATTTAGCAAAATTCGATCACTTTTAGAGTCACTTCGGTGTCTGTGTCTCTATGTCAGTTTGTCAAAGTTTTTTTTGAATTCCCAAAGACTATTGGACCTAGATGATTGATATTTGGCGTATATATCATATGCTACAGGAACACGTGAATAAATAACTTTTCAGAATTGCATTGATATCATATGTCTAAAAATATCTACAATTTTTTATATTGGACGTGTCTTCCGATGTATAAGAAAGATAAATTGTCTTGGAATCAAAATTTATTATTATTATTTACTCTTTAAATTCATTCATAATTAGAGTTAATTTAGTTTTAACAAAATAATGATGGTTTTATGGTCTTCTATGCGATATTTGATTCAAATCATTGGTCCGATTTAATATTGATCGGCACCATAAAATAGATTCTGATATTTTTTCTACGTTCAAGTAGACTTCAAAATTTCATAAATGCAGTTCGTAAGTGCAAATGATGAATACTACACATGTAATAAAACAAAATCTAATAAATCGCGTTACATTTTAACCTTTATTTAAGCGGCTTTTATTTAACAAAACACATCTTTGAAAGAAATTTCCATAAAAATTTGCGTAAAAGAACATTTTGCTAATGTAAACCACAGTCTGAAATCTGTCAACATGTTCAGTATCATCCCAGCCATTATATCACATCTGATAGACAACAAATCCTCGCAATAGAACACCGATTCCTACTAAGGATGATTCGCTTGGCTATTGAAATTAAAAACATCCTAACTTTAATAGAGAAGATGGCTGGGAGCAACCATCTACTTGGGAACTTGGGATCCCATAATTAATAAAATTAAATCAAAACCCAAGCATACTACTGCAAGACTTCAAGATACTGTAAACTCTTCCTGCGTAGATCGGACCAAATATTATTAGTTAAAAGTTGATTCTAGTCTTGGTAAACTATGACGTCAGGACGTCAAACAACTCAGTTCCACCCCCCCCCCTCCCGGTCTCCTAAAGTAAAGGAATTAAAAAATAAACACGATAAAATCTTTAAGATAACTTTTATTGCAAATGAAGTTCTATTCGCAGTGTACGTGGGTAGAACTACAGCTACACTCATGATCGGAATCTGAAAAATGTTCGCCATATTGTGGCGGCGAAAGAAAATCCGCCACCTCATATCGTTCCGTGTGTGTCCTAGGCCCAGCTGCCAAGCGTGCCAACTATAACAAATATCTTGACAATTTATGGGGGAGGCCTATGTTTAGTTCAGTAGACTTTTGATAGGTTGTAATGATAACAATGATGAGTTCTATTCTTTCGGATCTTTGCTACCGTTACTATTTACGGTAGTGTGAAAACAAAAAAGTAAAACAGCATAATTGCCCCATTACAACTAAAAAAGTCGCAGTCTACCACAGATTATTGAAAATTCATCGCGCGCGCGCGATTACTTATCAATAATCTATGCAGTCTACATACATGTACTGGGCACAGGCCACAGAGATTTTGGCCAAAAAAGTGCCAAAGCGCGATCACCTCAACTGGGGAACTTCTCAGATATGCAGATGTTCTTTCACCGCCAAAAAGGTGGTAAATCGACACGTCAAATTGCAATTAACATATGTAAAACTATATAATAATGCTAATGCACTATGAAATTTACGTTTGGATCAGTTTGATTACCGCCTTTGACAAGTAAAGTAAATTAAACCTTTGTTTAAGTAAAATCTGCTATTTACATATATCTCATGTGAGCTATGAAACCCGGACTGTCACAAAAATCTTGATTAGTCTGATAATATGAAAACTCTAAAATACAAAAGTCTTAAATGTCAAACCGATTTATAATTTTCATTAAAGGTATAAAAACTAAAGTAGCAGCTTACAAACGTCTCACTACTGTGCACCGGGCTCCTCGTTACCTATAATATTTTGTGAGTACGAATAAATAGTCAAGTAAATAGTTTATCGAATACTAAGTAAATTATCAAGTATACAGTGAAGTGAATGAGCAAGTAAATAGTCAAGTAAATAGGCAAGTAAATAAACAAGTAAATTGTCAAGTTAATAAGTAAGTAAATAAGAAAGAAAGTAAAGTCAACTAAATAATCAAATATACAGGGTTAATTTTAATGAGTGCATATTTTATATTTAAGTTCATATATATAAATAATGAATTTAATGATATACCGTTATTTCACTTTAAAAATACGAGTAAATAAGCCTTCTACTTTTTTTACTCACTGTTTACTATCTAAGTGACACGGTCACTACTAATGCTTAAGTTAAAATAACACTACGCGTATTATGATTCCAATTTTCCCTTCCCACTATTAACGGGCTTCGGATCGTCATAATAAATAAAATTTAAAAAAATCTTATGTTTACACGAATACTACACATTAGTAGGTACACACTACGTCACTACGATGTTACATATAAGTTACACACTATGTACTACATTAATTTCTTGCTGCAGTAAAGACTCACTTTCGTGTAATCTTTGCGCACTACGTATACTTTCATTGCTTAAAATGTAACATCGCACCATTTTATAGTTTCATAGTATTCGCGGGTCAAATATTTTCGTTGCGTCATTGTTAAGGAAGCGATACTGCCTACGTGCTTGGCGGTGAACGAAAACATCGTGAGGAAACCTGCATATCTGAGAAATAAGAAGAAAAATATTTCAAAATTTGCCAACATGCAGAACATTCTAATCCATGTCCATTTTAATTTTTAAATCCAGAATGCTTGGTAATGCATTATTTTAACTGATTGTAATTCATAATTATCTAACGCCTACTATTTCACTACGCACACATATTTTTAAGGGTTGCTCAGTTACAAAAGTAGTTTTATAAAAGTTAAATTTACAGTCTGGCTGGGCTGGGCACAGGCCTCCTCTTATTTCTGAAAAGATGTTAAGGCAAGGAAATATCCACCGCGCTGCCCCAATGCGTGTTGGCGAACTTTACATGTCTTCGAAGTATATATATAAGAAAATCCTCACAGTGTTTTCCTTCACTGCCGATCACGTGGTAAATCAGCACTTAAAATTGTAATTAAATTGCAATTTAATTATTAATACTAAGTACTAAGTTGTATTCCGAGTATCCTACAATTTTTTGACTTTTATAATTTTACCCTTAATATAGATTTTATCTTTACATAAACTCACATTATTTGCTTTCATTTAAACTTTTCGGAATGCAGAAAAGGATGAGTCAAGAATAATGAATGGTTAGAACCATTCTATCTATCTCTTTTACTCGTATTCATTTGTAAAATAAAAATCTACTAGCGTTAAATTATTGCACACCACAGTAGGACTTGATAGAGGGTTACCAACATGTACCTGTTAGAAGGGTTTTATTTATTGGAACACAAAATTGTAATTTTTTTTAAATAGCAATAAATTTTTATGCTATCCATACATTCACTTGCTTATTTTTGCTTTATAATAAGAAAAGAACATATTTCGGTTGAGTTATGAATAAAGTTTAGGATGAGAACAACATACCTAATCGAAAAAAGTGTCAAGAAATGAGTACGGAACAATCAATATGAGAAATCCTGATCAAGATCTAGGAGTGTTAATCTAGTTGTGTAAGCTTAATTGTGAATGTAATCTCCCTTATATAGGACAAACAAAAAGAAAAACAAATCCCGAGAAAAAGAACATAATACATCTGATGTGAAGTAGTCTGCAGTGTGTGAACATGTTTGGGATCGTCCCCGCCATATAACACTGAATTTCATAGACCACAATCCTCGGAAAAGAACGCCAACTCCTTCCAAGGATGATTCACGAGGCTAATGAAATAATTTAGAAACATGCTAATTTCAATAGAAAAGATGGCTGGTTGCTACCATCTGCTTAGGATCCCATAATTAATAAAATTAAATTCAAATCAAATATTCCACTGCAAGACTTCAAAATACTGTCAAGCACTCTACAATATCTTGAGGTGGTAAGAACCTCAGTTTCCCCACCCCCATGACCATGGGTGCTGTAAAGTCCCTCAAATGTCAAGAATAGAAGAGTTAAAATTTATTGCGATAAAATCGGTAAAAATAGTTTTATTCAATAAGAGATTTAAGCATAGATAGAGCCGACCCATTCGTGCTGCAACCATAACAAAGCTGCAGCGTTGGTCAACCATTTACGAAAAGGTACTAGATACAAAAAAATCAGGTACTTAAGTGTTATTTATGTTTAAATATCAATTGAGGATATGCACAACCATTACAGTAAGCAGAGCAAACATATACATACGTCTAGTCGTTCACATTTGCGGTTATAAGTTTTAAGATTATGAAGCTCTGACAGGCCGATTTGTTTCCCCGCTACATTCTTTATAATCTGTGATCATAAGACTGAGAGATTCGCATTTGTTTTAATTTTCCCAAACACCTGAGAAAAGATATGCCTGACTAATAGATTCAGGAAGCAAGAAAATGTTTATAGATCAGGTTGTATACTCGACTATAAATACATTGAACGTTACTAGTCAATAAGAGATTTAAGCATCACCGCCGAACATTGAAATATAACTTTAACATTAGTAGAGCCACGCGGCAGCTTTTGTTGTCGCACGGATGGACCGGCTCGAACCGGGGTCACAGAATACCAGCGTGAAGAAGAGGTTTACCTCTGTGATGCGCTTAGTGAGTGCAGGTGGCCAGAGGCCCAATCCCCAATCAACATAGTGGCGGAATTAAATTAAAGACTACTCCAGGAGTGTACCAGCACCCCTGGAGAATCCCTCGCTGAGCATCCACGACCAAACTACTCCACTGCTAAGCGTGAGTGCAAAATTCCGCTCGCGAATAATACTGCTCAGGGCAAGCGGAGCAGTAATAAATAAATTTTTGCAACATCAGGGGACTTCATTCCAACTATAACGCTGTCCATTACCATGTAGAAACAGCGAAGCCGGCCTTGCTCTTTTTAACCGAGACTCAGGTGTCCTCTTCGGCTGATACTTCATTTCTCTCCTACCCGGGGTACAAATTAGAACACTCCTTTGTGGCTGGAGTTTGCGTATACGTCAGAGAGGACATCTGTTTTCGACGCCTCGGCAGTCTTGAAGGTACGGACCTGTCCATCCTATGGCTGCGCATAGACAGCGACGACCATCCCCACGTCTACGGGTGACTCTATAGGTCCCATAGCGGTGATTCCGACACAGACCGACTCATCGACCACGTCCAAATGGGTGCAGACTCCGTGCTACAACAGGTCCCATTCGCTGAGATCGTGATCTCGGTAATTTTAGCGCCCACCACGCTGAATGGCTTAGTTCTCGTTTAATCGATCATGCGAGTAGACCTGTCTATGACTTTGCCTTAGCATATGGTCTAACACAACTAGTTACTTCGCCTATGCGGATCCCAGATGTGGAGGATCATGTACCTCCCCTATTGAACCTCTGACCTCTCATCCGGACGGATATCAGGTCTCCGGCGATGCCCCTCTGGGCTCTTCGGACCATAGTTTGATCCGGAGTACGGTGCCACTCACGCTCCAATCGCAGTTGTGATCTGCAGCTTGCCGCCGTGTTTGGCACTATAGGTCGGCCGATTGGAACGGGATGCGGTCTTTTTTTTATCCTACTCTTGGGGGCAGGTTTGCTTCTCGCCGGAAGATCCTTCTCTAAAAATCTTGGCGTGCTCAGCAGAGCGAGACAGTATTTCATACCGGCACATCGCTTGCAACTTTACAAAGCGCACGTTCGGCCTCACATGGAATACTGTTCTCATCTCTGGGCCGGGGCACCCCAATGCCAGCTCCTTCCACTTGACCGCACCCAGCGCAGAGCGGTTCGAATCGTCGACGACCGAGTTCTTTCTGATCGAATAAAACGAAAAAAAAAAACGACATTGTACAACCAGTGCGTGTTGCCAGTGATGACTTACGGATCTGAGACGTGGTCCTTCACTGCTGGCCGTATGAGGAAGCTCAAGGTCGCTCAGCGAGCTATGGAGAGGGCTATGCTCGGAGTTTCTCTGTGTGATAAACTTAGAAATGAGGATATCCGCAGTAGAACCAGAGTAACCGACATAACCCAACGGATTAGTAAGCTGAAATGGCAGTGGGCCGGCCATATAGCTCGAAGAACCGACAACCGATGGGCAAGAAAGGTTTTCTAGTGGCAGCCTCGTACCGGTAGGCGAAGTGTGGGGCGACCCTCCACGAGAAGGAGTGACGACCTGGTAAGGCATGCAGGAAGTCTATGGATGCAGGTGGCTCAGGACCGTGCTTTGTGGCCTTCCTTGGGGGAGGCCTATGTTCAGCAGTGGACTTATGAAAGGCTGTAATGATGATGATGAAATGCTGCATACCTAACAGCAATAGTTTACACAACTTACAAATCCTCTAAATAATTCAGTCATACGGATTTCTTCACGATCTCTTCGACATCGTGGTTAATTAATAAGTAACAAATTGCAATTAACCACATAGGTAACCTGAACTTGAACGTTGCCCACATGCTTTAAAACTTGCTTTAAAGCATGCCATCGCAGAGCTATTATTTTGGAGGTGATATTCTACCGACTTCAAAGAGAACAGTACTCAAATTCGACTGAATGTTTTTTTTATATGTGTTAACTTCTTTTTGGTAAACCGATTTCGATGATTCTTTTTATATTTGAAAGCTGGTGCTTCACATGTGGTCCCATATAAATTTGATCAAGGTCTAACCAATAGTTTTTGAGTTATTCTTAATAATTTATATTGAGGTCGGTTATAAATTTTTAATTTTTAATTATAACAGGTACATATTTTATTCCAAGATCTTATTAAAGAAGTAAACACTATTTTAAGTATTCTGTTGGCCGAAATTTAATAAAAAATATTCTTTACTTATTTCAGATGATACTTTAGAATGTAGCCGCTTTGTAATTGATGCAGTAATACTGCAGCTTTTCGAATTTTTGAGGCAGTTAATAAAATTAGGCAGTATCATTAATAATATAACCGTTCTTGATCCGCTCGTAGTTAAACGTCAAGAAATAGATTTGGAGTATACAAAATTTCGGTAAGTATATAATTGAAAGGTTTCTTTGTAAATGTTAGAAGTTTTTATCAATTTTCGTTGGCAATAACTCACGTCTACCATGAAGCGCTTGAAAATGTCTAAGTGTCATTACTAATTTGTTATTTACATGTATTATCTTACGTCAAAGTAAAAGGAGAAATTATGTTATTGCGGCCAAACAATTTTTGCAACCATCAACTCAGCCGAGAAAACGAAGTTTTATTGAAATTATAGTACCATCTTGTAACGTTTAACTTTTGTATTTATGACCAATTTAGTTTCATAGTTTTAAAGCGACAACTCAGAACTACTTTGGAACTGGTTCGCTGACCGGGATATTTAACCCCTAACCCACAAACTTCGTACTAAAATATGACATAGTGGCAGTAAAAAAAAAAATCACACACTTTAAGTTTTAACACATAGGCTCCAGCTAAAGTAAAAGTAAAATGAACACAGACTATCAAAAAAATAGACGTTCTTCATTCTTGATAAAAACAAGATTATTAAATAGAACTGTTTTTAATTTTTAGGATAAATGCAGAAATATTGAATTTTACACTTGCTGGATTAGGAAATTTTGAATTATTAGGCGCGAAGTTTAATAAGGACGATGTTTCTCTGGATCTGACCTTGAGATTTCCCTCCTTAACCATACTATCTGGTAAGTATTAGTTTTTCAAAGTCTGCAACTTATACCAAGACACCGTTTTGAAATTTTACCTAATATTTGTCGACAGAACACTATGAAATGAGTGGAAATATATTCGAAATATTGCCTTTGAGTGGAAATGGATTGCTAAAGTAAGTACATTTTATTTTAAAATCACATATGTACACACGCTGCGCTCAACGGCTGAACCGCATTGTTTCTAAACTTTTGAATGTTATATTTTAAAACCGAGCTAAACGATCTTTTTAATTAGAAAATAGTTAAGAAATGTAATAACTGCGAAATTTGTGCCAGCTCTTGATCCAACTGAACAAGTTCGTTGTAATCAATAATCTGTTGATTCACAACCTTACGACTAGCATCTTCCAGGCTGCTTTTTGCCGCCCAACGTATATTTTAGGCTAGCATTTTAAACATATGTTTTCATTTAACTTTTATTCGAAGATATTTATCTGGTTATTAGAATGCTTAAAGAATCGACAGGAGTGAAGTCATCACACAAAAAATGTTAGCTAACGACATCATAGTTCTGCCGTACACATAAATATCACTTTTTAGATATTAATATAAAGTTTTAATGTACATTAATTTCAAATACATTACAGCATTGAAGCACATGATTTAAAATTCTGGAGCAAAGTATATTTAAAACAATCAGAAGACGGTAGATCCATACTAATAGACAAATTTTTGGACACGCATTTTGAGATCGATAAGATCGTGGTAAGTAATGAATTAGTTATATCACGTCTCCATTTCAATGAGGAAGCTAAAATATCTAACAAAAGATAACAAACACAAAATGTCGGAATAATACACCTCACTTATAAGATTATGACCAATGAATCAACAGCCACTGTTGCTACAGCTATATCAATAGTACAGTTGTATTCCAAATGGGTCGCCTCGACTGGGGAAGGACCACGTTCTCATAGAATACCAGCGTAAAATAGAAGCATAACGCTGCTATGTTTTGTTTTGTGAGTGTAGAGAACCGGAGACCTATTTTACTGGAAAAGAGGCATTCCATCTTAGTCCTCACGGCTGACAATGCATCTGAATTTTATTCGAAAACGAGGACAGATGTAGATGGCTATGAGCCACAGCAACCACTTACCATCAGGTGGACAATGTTCTCGCTTGTCACCCTTATCTTATATTAAAAAAAAAAACCTACGAAGATCATTTTAGAAACATTACGCAACACGGTTTAGTTTACGACACAACGAACTGACATGGTGCTAGCATCCTTTTTTTGCCTGGAAGTCCGTCTAAGTAGGTACTTCTTACTTAATTCTTCCGCCAATTAGCAATTCCTCCACTGCTCTATTTCCATCTAAAGGGAAAGGTATAGAGAGTTAGTACACTTACTGGCTTTGATGCATTCCATCTTAGACCTCAGAGGTGACAATACATCTTTAGCCTTCCTTGTCTGAAGTTGGCTTCAGGTTCAGAAGTGTTATAACACACCTACATTAATAATCAAAATGCTGATACGTTGTCACCCCTGTGTACTAAGATGGAATGACTCTATCTTTATTAATACCAAGGGTCCCCTATTTCATACATATCAGCATTATACTCATATTCTACGTTGGTATTTTTAGGAGCGTGGATCTCCCCGGTCGAGTCGACGTATTTGTGCTGCCGACAACTCAGTACTGCCCTACCACATAGATTTAAACATGTATTTACAATTACATAATTTGTTTATTTTATATTTTGACAATTTTTTTAAAGATTTAGGGGTCAAGAGCCATCTAGCATATCGGATTTTTCAACAGTAAAAATTTTAATTATAATTTTAAGTGTTGATCTGGCACGTGCGTGGCAGTAAGGAATTTGCCATGAAGAAACTTCCATGTCTGCGGAAAAAAAATCGAAAAAATTCGAAGACATGTGAAGACCGCCAACACGCCCTAGAACTATGCTGCGGGTCTATCGCTCCAAAACCCTCTCAAAAATCAGAGAGCAATGGGACGTATATAAGCTGTAATTTAACATTAAAAGTGAAAAATGACATCTATATCTATCCCCGATTAAGAATGAAAGTACAGATGCGTTTTCATTGTCAACCCTAACGGCTAAGATGAAATGCTTAAATAAGTCCTGAAGTTCTCGTCATTCACCATACGAAATACAAACTGTCGCATTGATAAGGCCACGAAATCTAGCATTATTGAGATTGTTAAAGAAGATAATCAGTAGGTACTAATAACTGTTTACGTTTTTGTCATTATTATTATTTGATTTATAATCTCTATCGTCACTGATTTCATCGATTAATTAATTTGATAATAATCTTGTTTACCTATACATCTTTTTAAAAAATATTGTTAGTAGTAGAAATATTTGAATTCCATAATTATTAACGAATGCATGGAAAATTATCATGATCCCATATCTCATAGAATATTGGCGTCATTTAGCAACTTCGCACTGCTGTGTTTCGTATGTTGAGTAATATGAACTGGGGACACTTTTTAGTAGCAACAAGGCATTCCATTTACGTCCCCATGGGTGACGACCTGCCTGTATTGCACGCTTCATAACGCGAAGCGTTATTAGTCAGTGCTTTACTCTCGACACATCGAGGTCGAGCAATTCCTTGATCTTAAAATGCCTCTATCATAACCATATTGCTCTTATACGATGATATGAGTAGCCGTATATCAAGAAAACACGCTAATTAATCTATCTTGTATTTTCTAAAAAATCATTTTATATACTTAGAAAAGAAAACGGTTGGAAAAAAAATTTACCTGGACGTCCGTATGTTGATTTTGTCTGTGGTTACGATGATTCCTTATAAAATAGACGTATCGAGACCGGGTTTTTTTTTATTAGATTCAGAATTACATCAACTGGTTCCCTATTTCATATCAATAGCCTAGTACGCGTAGTTTGTTAATAAAATGATTTTCAACTTTTACAAGTTTTATTGCTATTAATAAAGGCGCATTCATATTTTTTTGGCCCTTTCAAAGACAAATGACAATCTATTTTATACTTTGTGGAATCAATTTATTTTGGTAAACATTATTATTTTTTCCCTGTAGGTAACACTGCCTGTTAATATAATAGAGCGCTACACGTAAATAATGTATTTTAAAATCCAGGAATGCAATTTATTTTTTCACTTTTGGATTTTACAAACTATTTTGAATTTTATTCAGGATATTTTTTTATGTTCCGGTGTCCATTTACCCTGAAATGTAATTGCACTGTGTCATCTAAACAAACATCTCATTTACACAAAAATAAATATAAACGAAACTTACATCAATGAATAGAGTGTGCATAATATTATTGTTTCCACTTAACAGAACTTAGTCCTTAATATATTAATAATAAAGAAAATAAAAACATAGGTGTTACAAACTTGACCCTTTCATTCGATACAGTTGATGTTAACAGAAGTGATAGGTATATTTTGATGCATTCTGTGAGCATGTAGTCTTGTAAAAGTATGTATAAATTAATTGTGGAAAGTATCATCAAGGATAACAGAATCTCCAACTAAAAACATTATAATTAATTATTAAAAATTTAACAAACTTACACAAATCCTAGCAAACAGTACATAAAATAAATAAATAAATGTACTTTGCAGTCTGTGATTCCCAAATACTTGACAAATCTTTATATGTTGGTGCTCCAGCCTTTACAGTGGTAGAGCCACGATGCAGTGCAGTGACTGTACTTTGAATGGGTCTAAGATGAGCGATAAAAACGAGATACCATTTTTATTAGTTTATAGGTATTCCATCTTATTCCTTCATAGTGACAACGCATCTGCATTTGATTTATGATTAAGGATGCACCTAGGTGTCTATGAGCCTCAGTATCCACTTTCTACAAAGTGAACTGTGTGCTCGTGTGTCGTATATACTACTATAAAAAAAATTGTATTGTCAAAAGTAACTTTAATCAGTTGGCATATTTCAAACACATACATCTACAACTTATAATCAAAACTACTACAGCTTTTTCTTTTATATTTTACTGTCTATTGATTATGCTTGAAAGATTTGCTTTCCTCATCATGCTGAGAACGCAAATTCGTGTACGTAAGGCCGACATCCTTGCACTCTTAATTGAGCTTTTCACTTTTTTTTGGGGGAGGGGAAGCGGGGAGATTTGTCCTAGTTCCAGAATATTTTATATCTGGCGAATAGTGAAGTCGTTAGATCTTCCTGGCATTTCCCACAGTTCCCTCGTACGGCACCCACGGGATGAAATAATTTAATTTGTAAAAACTTATTTATTATATACAAAAATTATGGTTAACACTGGAAATATATGACAAATAGTCGGTACGATTAAAGTGATTCAGTAGTTAGATAAGACGCCTTAATCCGATTCTACCGCTGAAAATGTTTAAATGTCCTTTGAAATTATCTGATTGTTTAGTTTTTTCATTGTTTTGTATTAATAATACAATAATATTTTCAATTTTAGCTAAGATTATTGTATTATTAGCCTCTATAAATGACAAGACAGACATTACCCGCAGAGTTTCTTTCGCCATTTCTTCTCTGGGCAGATGAACCTCATTTTTAGTAGTAGTAGATTATAAATATTAAGTTGAAGTTTCAAGTGAAAAAGTTTCTTTATCTGAAAGAACTTTAATTATGGAGTACAACTATAATTATTCTAATATTAATGATGGTGGTGTAAGAGGCGACTATGCTTCCTAAGCGAATTTATGCTAAATATTTTATTTTAAGACATTCATTAAATCACTATCATTGTTAACCAAAAACATTCAAATAATTACGATCGAAACACACACTTCTTTATGTATTTGAACCACGCTGAAGCATCGGTCGGCTCACCGGGGAAGGACCACTCTCTCACAAAATGCAAGTGTAAGAAAACCGCTTAATGCTGTTGTGTTTTGTATGGCAAGTGTAGAGACCCGGAGATCCTTTTATTGATAAAGAGGCATTCTATCATAGTCCTTAGGGGTGACTCTTCTACATTTTGATTCTCAGACCAGGATAGAGGTGTCTATGGGCCACAGTTTCTATTTATCATCACGTGGGCTATGACCTCTTTTCATTATATAAAAAAACTTTTTGTCAAGGCTGGATGAAAGTCATTAAGACTGCGAGCGAGAAAACTGCCTTCATTCGTAAAATAGCGTGAACACGACTCAGTACTTTAACTGATTTGTAAGTTCTTCAATAGAGTTTAAGCATTTTCTTTATGAAGTGTTCTTTTGCTCTTTTGGTAAAGTGTTATAGTAAATGATAGAATTAAATAGAGTCCTAAGGATTTTACGTAATGGCTCTATCAGCTTTCCTCGTCTGGTCACCTATTTAAAACTATTCTATCAACTTAGATTCCCCCGTGGTTATCATGAAAAGCAACAGAAGGAACGTTTTTGACCTAATAATATAAGTAGTACATATAGCACGAATGGATCGGATCGAGCAAAGAAGAATCATACTCATACTCTCACAGAATACCAACTTAAAATAGCAGCTTTACGTTGCTGTGTTGCGTATTGCTTTTTACTGGAAACAAAGCATTCCATTTTAGTCCTCAGGGGTGATAACGCATCTACATTTTAATACTTAATCGAGGATAGATGTAGATATCTATGGATCACTGCAACTACTTAACATTAGGTGTGTGCTCGTTAGTCAGCCATATTCTAAAAAAATCTAGAACACCAGAATAAATAAAAAGGCTACCGTAGCCGCCTACTAAACGTAGCATAAATATGTACACATACATTTTGTAATGAATTCTAACTTTGAAGTTTTTTCTTTCATTGCAGTCACGTACTCAATATGACGGAAACATAGACGACATTTTAAATGCCATGATTGGAGACTTGCTACCTAAGTACCTCTCAAGATTTAGTAGACTCATTGCCGCACAGTATATGGAACGTATAACGGAATTTCTAAATCAGTACTTTAATCATTTTGAATCTTGGAGATTTATTGCTGCTATCCTTTGATATTCGTTATAATTATTAAATTATCCATTAAATATTTAGTTTTTCTTTTAAATCTAATCAGGTGGTTCAGTTTGAAAAAAAAATCTTTTACTAGTTTCATTCCTGCATGCCTGCGTCATTACATTCCTGCCCTTACCCCAAGCTATTTGAGGTCGGCATAGCATGTCTACCATCCTATGCCGACACTACCACTTCCAATCTCCTTTAGCCGTTATCTCTATAATCATTTCCTTCTTCCCCGTAATAACATGCATATTAAACTCAAACATTTTATTGCGTTCATGAGGTTAAATAAATAGTCTTATGTTGGATATAACAGAGCCAAACATGAGCCCTGATAGAGCGTAGCAACATTATATATCAATTTAATTTAATTGATTTAGAATGAAAAATTACTTATTTTATTTACTTAAGCTAAACATTACTTTTAGGTTTAATAAACATTAGCAATAATTGTTAATACAATGATAATAAAAACGTATATACCATATCAATATCAATTAAACAATTATTATTTTTCACCGAAAACTTTTTTTTATCCTTTATTGTACACACACTATAAATTGATAACAATATTAAATATTCAAAATGTACAAAGGCGAGTTTAACCCAAATAAGAGTTCTCTTCCAGCAAACCTTTTGGAAGAGAGAAATAGTTTTATATGTAAAGCAAGTAAGGAAGTAGGTGGCAGCGTGCCTACTTAATAACTAACAAAACGCTACTTAATAGAAAATTATAGTTAACAATTAACATATAAGTGCATAAAATATATTTAAGTATACTATATACATAATAAATAAAGATAATATATAGTATATATATATTCCTCTATTTTATATATACTTACATAAAATATATGAATATTTATAATTCTAAATTGATAGATAATGTTTCTTTACTCTGTTTCGAAATATATCAAGAGAATTATTACACTTACTTAACCTTGTTTTGGACACTCGATGTACACAAAATTGCTCTCAAATAATAATTTTACATATTTTTTAATATGAAAGTGATGTTATAATGCGTCAAAAAGTGTGGTGTTCGTCAATAAACAACGTTTTATATACAACAGTGTTTTACATAAAACACAATTGAAACAATATATTATTTTATATACATTTCCAAAATGTTTAGAGCAATAAAATACGAGTATGAAATCTAATACATGTTTCCTTTTTTTTAAATAATTGTTTTCCTTTTTTAACTCCATATTATGTTTGTAGGTTTCGAAATGAACAAAAAACCGAGTTGGTCAACCACGTTCTTGTTGCTCTTACCTCTAGAATATTTTTGTAAAGCCGGAGGCGCGGAGGGAGAGCAACACCTGCCGCTTTGTTACGCAAGAGCGAAAGGGCTGCTCTTCTCGAAACGCTGGAGCAATTCCATCCCAAGCTAATACATATAATTGAGTTGAGTTCTTTCTGATAAAAGTAGAGTGTTTTAGCAGATATGTGCAGCGCTGTGTTGTCAAGGTGGCAGAGAAAATGCCCGATTTTGGTTGCTTGTCACAGAATAGAATAGAATACGATGTTTTTTATTGAATATAGATTACCAGTAATTGTTATTGAAAGTATTTTTTTTTTACTTTTACCATTGGATTGGAAAACCTCTATCCTGGGAAGAACCAGCAAAAAACCCAAAGGGACTTTTTTTTTCAAAGTAAAGTCTATACACATATAAATAAAATTTGAGTTTCTGTCTGTAATATTGAAATAACTGGCTTTTGTGAAACTCAAGTCGTTATTTGCATGTTATTAGGACATGTGCCATTTATAGTCTCACATGCTCTAACGTTGGCTAATATGGCTGATCAGCTTTATATTTATTCTGCACCTGGAGGGGAGTCCAATGTGGACCTGCCCCTATCCACTGGGGACGTCTACGTTGCTAAGTGGTGAGTGCACGATGGGGTCTGCGCCAGTGATCACTATTTGATCACTTACACGGTCACTACCAGTAAGCCGACCACAAGCGCTGCACCCGTTAGGGATCCCTCCGTTTTCGAAACGGAGGGGTGGATTGCGACAGGTTCCGGATGATAATCAAACTATGAATGGGTTGGCTGCATGTAGAAAACCCGCAGCCCTCCTGTATGTCCGGGCTAATCTTCGAGACGAGATGGCTGAACCGATAGTGATGAAACTTTACAGACAGACGAGCACTGCGAGGAGGGATGCGATCCTTTCCAGGCGAATTTGGGGCGGGTTGTACATACTACTTACAGAAACAGCTTGGAAGCGACCACGGTATTACCAGGGGTTATTATCAACCATTGTATTAATTTATATAATAATAACCTTTTTATAGAATTTTATTTTAATAAAATATTTTAACTTGGTAATAGAGAAACCTTGTATATTTTCTAGGACTTTGCTGTTATAGTGAAGTTGTTATAACTTAATTTGCTTAATTCCGCGTAAAGAAAGAAAATGATGTGTCCTGCCCAGTTAGAAGGGGGACTCTCACCCTCCCTCAATTCAAACTGGTCAGGACACATCATTTTCTTTCTTTACGTGGAATTAAGCAAATTATGTTGTAACAACTTCATTGCAATGGATTTCCACAAAGTAATGCCTGGTTTAATTATCTTTGTTGTTATATCGTATATATCGTTATACATTGCTCCATGAAAGAATTACTGACTCTGTAGGCTCGAGAAACTGGTGTTTGTTACTGATATTGATGTTTATGAGTATAGATACATCACTTTTCTATTAAACTACTTTGGTTTTTATGAACATACATAAAATTTTTGTAAATAGAAATGGAGGCCCAAATTAATATATTATCTCTCTCAACGGTTTCAAAAAAAAAAAAATAAAGCACCAAACTGATAATACTTTTGGGACATAATCAGTCACACACCGCTCAGAGTTAACTATTCTTTGATCCTTTAGCACCACAGTAGCAATATGAACTGTCTTGCAGAAAAACGAGGTGATTTGTTTGTGTATGCAACGCGGACGGTGACGTTTGACTGGAGTTGGCTCATCTTCAAAGAACCATACAGTCGACTGTTGATTTGTTTTAGGATCATAGATATATAAGCATGTTTCATCGCAAGTCGGTATATCATAAACGTTTTATTCTTGCCAACATTGAATTTCTCTCTATCATGAATTGGCACCATTGGCATCCAATCTACTGTCTTTCTGCTTATCGGTGAGTTTGTGCGGCATCCATCCCGAACAATATGTAGGGAGAGGAAGTCGGTTGAGAACTACGGATTGCAAGATCTACATTATGCAATACTACGGTTTTCTCAAAAATTTTCGTCGTGTGTTCAAACATTTTCTTGAGTTACCGCGACTGACGGATGACTTCTTCACTTTATCTTCAAAGCTTTGCCGTCTTTTTTCTGCAAACCTATTAAATTTGTTACTTGTGACTAGTAATCAAGCCGACTCTACAAAAGTAGTAACCAACAGTCCAACATATTCTTGGGGGTTTAAACCTTTCTTTGGTCGTTATAAATCAGATCGCGAAAAAATCATGTCAGCTGAGGTCGGTTACTGCAAGCAAGTTTTAAATCATTAATCTATGGCTTTAAGCAGATTCCCGCCACATTCTTATGAATAAAATATTTTAGAGTATGTATGTATCGAACACCAATAACAATCACACCGTACGCGTACGTCGATAGCTTTCACGCTTTAATTCTTTATGCTGGATGAGCAAAGAGTTCATCTTCATAGATTTTCCGGGTATAAGGCGCTTTACATTGTTCACCTCAAAACATTTTCTAAATTAACCAGCTTACTTATCAATAATTAGTAGTTATTCTAATGGCTAATTAATGCAGAATATCTAAAACTGAAACTTTTAAACATTGCCGTTGTTTGGTACAAAAGGTTGCAAAAAATATTGAAAAAACAAGAAATATCAAATATCAAGAACTTAACAGATACATTAACAGGCACAGAGATCCGACGCCATCTTGAATCAGGTCCTGTTAGTAAATATTAGGTAGCTGTTTGCCGTTTGCCAGCTATTCCGCAGAACCAAGTTCCCTACAGCCAGTATAGAGGTCAGAAATAAGGAAGGCAAGACTGTATATTATGGTTTTACATCTGCGTACCGTTCACATGACATAGAATAATGGTGACAAACGAGCACACAGTCCACCTGATGGTAAGTGGATGCTGTGGCCCATAGTGATCTACAACTATCCTCGATTAAGAATCAAAATGGAAATGCGTTACCACCTTTGAGGACTCAGATGTAATGCCTCGTTACCAGTAAAAAGGGTCTCCGGTTTTCTACACTCACCATACGAGCAGAATTGAGCTGCTATTTTACGCTGGTATTCTGTGAGAGCGTGATCCTTCCCCGGTCGAGCCGACCTATTCGTGCTACAACCATTATATCGCTGCAGCATGGCTCTACCACTTATATAGAGTGAATTTTAGCAAAGCATTCGAAAGGATAATTGGCACTCACTTCAACAGGTATATTATTATGTTGCGCTTTAGTCGCAATCCGACCAGTTTGCTAGTTATAGTTGCAGTTTGTTCTTCCGCTCCTTTATATCGTCAACGCAATCGGCAAACCAGCAAGTGCCCATACCTGCAAGGTGTAATCGGAGACTACTTGGATAACTACATTTGATAGTACACTGGGCAAAACGGTATGAAGTTTTGTGGGAGATCGCCAAAGAGATAAATACTGGGCCCGTTACGGTAGAATCTAGTTGAAAATATAGTTTTTGTGTGATTTCTTCACAGGAGTAAATCGTAAATGCTGTGCAGTCGTCGGCACTTGCTGGTCACCAGCTAACCGCCGTTTTATTTTGATACTTAAAGAATACTACTAAAATTTAATTTATACATAACATTTAGATATCTACTTGATTATATCAAAGACAACGATGATGTGTCTCTATCAGTTTTTGTATTATTATCTTAAATAACAATCCGAGCACTTTTCAATGTAATTATGATTATTATTAGATTATTATCAGATTCCTTCTTAATTGTCATATCGCAGCTGATAATATATTGTTTCTTTTAAGTTTCGACAATTAATAAGTTTTCGTTTATAACCTCATCGGCTAGCAATTTTTTTGGTTGTGTCTTAAACATAATCAGGTAAGTCAATGTTTTTATATAAAAACGATTGTCCGAATTTAATATGACTTCTACTAAAACATTTAACTTATATAATTATCTATACATAGAAACAAAACAATGTTTCACAAACATTTTCAACATATGCTTGAAATGTATTTTAATATTACACAAAAAGTTTACATATTGTAACAATATAAATAAATAAAATGATTAATCTAGACTTATTTTAGTACGGTATTTTATTTACACTTCTACACGTTAAATATTTTTATCCGTAAAAAAATATATTATTTATTATATGCTAGTCTTCACTTAATTCCACTTACAAAAAAACAATATAATTCTTTGTTTATACATAAAATCATGTTAAAATAAACAGAGTTTAAATAGGTACCATTTAATTTTCTGAGTCAATTTATACTTACCACATCGAATTGGTACATCGAATTTCTAGTTCACAATAACCATGGCAGGCAGTCATGACGCCTACTCTATAAAAGAAAACATTATACGGTGGTATAGAGCTATAACGTTCGATCTACTCAACTCATCGAAATAAATTTAGCTATGATATTTTCACTCGAGAATATAACCTGTAACAAAAATTTTAATTGAAATTGGTCCTGACGTTTTTGCGGTTTTTGATCGCTGGTTGCTCTACGTAACTGAAGAAAATCTTTAGTTGTAGGAGAGCTCAGAGGCATAAATGCTACCTTTGACCCCTCTCCCTCAACTCCTCTTTCAGAAGTAGGAGAAGAAAACATTAGTTATTTAAATGAAATGGTAATTTTTACAGAGTTTTAAAAGGGAGAAGATTATTATATAACACATTCGACGCAAAGATTTCTCGAAAACAGATGAACCGATTTTAATTATTGTTTTTTATAAGATGGTAAAAATTACTTGGTCTATATCCGCTCATTGATATTACCATCTCCTGTAATTTACCATCTTTAATATAATGAATTTCCGCCTAAGTAACGCCTACTTTATTCTGTTAATTATATAATTTTTTTATTATGATCCCGTATACATTTAAATTCCATTACTAAATGTGTAAAATGTAGAATAAAGATTTTAATGTACCTATTTAAACGGCATTCTAGTAGTTACCTTGAATTTCTTAGACCACTTAAAAGGGTAAAAAAATTAAGGTTTTAAAAAAAACAATACTTAACGGTAAACTCTAAAGTTATCAAATACATAATTGAACTTTTGATAAGGAGTAGAACTGACTTCAAAAATTTAGAAAATAATTATTTCCACATATTAGATTCTGAATTCGGGGCTAAGACATGGCGTTTAATGTTAGGACCATGATTTTTTTAAAAAATTAAACATTCCATGTAAAACATATAAGCGATGGAATTAATGTAGTCAATTTATACAGGTTTAAAATGTGCTTGTAAATACATATAGTTGCAGCACATAATAACAATCATTAACCAAAAAAAAAACAAATTGCTTCGAACACACAAGGTCGTTAAATTGTATTTAACATGATCATCATGTTACCATTTGTAGCTAAAAAAAGACAAATCTATATTATTCACTCATTTTTAGTAAAATTTAGACGTGCCTACATCGATGTTGATTCAGAAAGTGTTTATTTTTATATCTCTATGAATTTAATTGTTACGGCAACAATAACAAACATGATATTGAATAAGGAAAAGAAAATCGCTACTAAATATCTACATAGTTCCTTTTATTTCTCCCTTAAATAGATAATTTGGGATTTGAAAAGGTTTAATATAATAATAAACAAAGGATCGGCTTGACAAATATGTACAAATACATATTTCGGTTTATTAAAATTTTAATTAATTCGTTTTTTCAATTTCAGAATGAAGTTACTAATACTTCTTCTAACTGTCTGTGCTATAGCTGCTGCAGCTCCAAAAATTACAAATGAGCAAACTTTTGGTAAGTTCTCTTCTAATAAGAAAAATGAACAGTTTTTAAATCAAATAGAACACCATACTTTTATAGATTTGACACCAGTAGGGATGTGCGAGGACGCGTAAATACGTAACGAACGATGTTTGTGAAATGCACCAATGAAGATAGTTTTATTTTTATAGCGTAACTAATATTTGCTCCGGTGGAAAAGGGTTCTATGAAGCGAAGTTTTTATATTCCCTATTTGAGTAAGGATAGTGAGTAGCAAATCTGGGTGGGCTATAAAATTACAGTATTTATGAGATTAATTCCCTGGTAGTTCAATGTGTAGGTACAAAAGATGTGCGAAAATCACGCTTAAAATATATAACAACAACAAATTTTAGAGCCGCCATCGATAATGATCGAACTAGGTTTGGCCGACTATGAACTTAAGTCATAATATTATAGCGATTGTTTTTCTTTTTACAGATCCGTCATCTGAGATTCCTCAAAACGAACGAAATATTCTGGTGAACCTTCTTATCCGGCAGCTGATCGCGTACGTTCGTTCTATTATCAATAATGGCTCTGAAGTATTTGGCATTCCGCCATTAGATCCTCTGGAATTGGAACATTTCCACTTAGTACTTCCAACTGGATTGTTAAAGTAAGTAATATTATGCATCTGTATCATATACCTAAAACCGCAGTTAGAAATTCACTTATTCAAAATAAGGGCTCGTAAAGATCATATGATTTCTGTAGCTTACATAAATATATTATATTTAATAATCATACAATAAATAATTTTTAAAATAATATTAAAATTGGACTCGGGGCTCCGGCTCCTCCGAATTAGATACTCCAGGGCGTTTTATTTTTATTTTATTTTGTTTTTTTTTTGTTTCTTTTAAAATTATTATTATTTAGTTTTATATTTGTTTTTGGTTCTGTTTTTGTATCTTATTCTGGAAATAACCACAATTAAATGGTACTCATAAGTTATTTACGTTGTAGGAACACAAAGACCATAAGCACCAGTTATTCTTCTTAACAATAGTCCAATCGACGGTAAACATAAGTTATACGATAAACAGGTTACATAATATGATATTACATTTTAAATAAGTGTAGTCAATGCGATTCACCGTCTTTGACTTGATACCCACTTACCATCAAGTGGAATAATAATTAAGCACTGACTTCATCTTCATGGCTGCAGAATGAATGGGTCGGCTTCACCGAAATAAGGACCACACACAATATCATCGTCAAGTACCAGTATAATGTTGTTTTGTTTCTTACATGTGGCATAACAAAGTATACCATCTTTGGCCTAAGGGCTGACAACGGATGTGTTTTTTTTATAGGAGAGGGGGTAAACGAGCATGCGGCGCACCTGATGGTAAGTAGCTACCGCCGCCCATGAACAACTGCAATACCAGGGAGGGAATTGCAGATGCGTTGCCGGCCTTTTAAAAAGGAGTACGCTCTTTTCTTGAAGGTCCCTAAGTCGTATCGGTCCGGAAAAATCGCTGATGGTAATCGATTCCACAAGGAAGTCGTGCGAGGAAGAAAACATCTTCTAAATCGCACAGTGGTGGACCGCCAGTCATCCAGATGGTGTGGATGCTATCGGGAGTTCTGCCGCAATGTGCGTTCGTAAAATTTGGCGGCTGGGATTAATCCGAACAATTCCTCAGAGCACTCCCCATGGTAGATGCGAAAGAAAATGCAAAGGGATGCAACATCTCTTCGCAGTGCCAATGAATCGAGCCGATCGGAAAGGGCTCGGTCGTCGACGATTCGAGCCGCTCTGCGCTGGATGCGGTCAAGTGGAAGGAGCTGGCACTGGGGAGCCCCTGCCCAGAGATGGGAACAATATTCCATGTGAGTCCGAACCTGCGCCTTGTAAAGTTGCAGGCGGTGTGCCGGCATGAAATACTGTCCTGCTCTGCTGAGCACGCCAAGCTTTTTAGAGGCCAATTTGGCCTTGTCTTCCAAGTGACCACGAAACTGCACGTCACTCGATATGTCCACTCCGAGGATACCGATACTGGCTGAGGCAAGAAGGGGAGTGCCTTGAAACTGAGGAGATACGACAAAGGGGTTCTTTTTAGCGGTAAACGCGCAAGCTTGTGTCTTCTGGGGATTGAACTGGACTAGATTTTGTCGGCCCCAATCCGAAACTTTGTCCAGCAAAGACTCGACTTCAGACACAAGTTTGCCGGTGCTCGGCGACGTTTTCCCGAGAAATATTGGCACGGCCGGTGTATAGAGCATCACCAGTGCTGTCATCCGCATAGCGATGAATGTTACCAGTTAGCAACATATCATTGATATGCAGAAGAAACAGCGTTGGTGATAGCACACAGCCTTGTGGAACACCAGCGTTAATAGGCTTGTAGTCAGAACATGCACCGTCTACAAAGAGCTTGATACTCCGATCTGCAAGGAAGCTGGTGATCCAATTGCACAATTTCTCAGGAAGCCCATAGGAAGGGAGATTCGAAAGAAGCGCTTTGTGCCAAACCCGATCGAAGGCCTTCGCAATGTCCAGACTAACGGCCAACGCCTCCCACTTGGACTCTACTGCCTCCGCCCATCTATGGGTCAGGTAGACCAGAAGATCACCAGCTGATCGACCCCGACGAAAACCGTATTGGCGTTCACTAATCAGCTGGTGATCCTCAAGGTACCGGATGAGATGGCAGTTAATAATGGATTCCATTATTTTGGAGAACAAGGAGGTGATCGCGATAGGCCTATAGTTGGACGGGTCTAAGCGGTCGCCTTTTTTAGGGATCGGGTGGACAAAAGCTGTCTTCCATAAGTTCGGGACTACGCCTTGGGAGTAGGAGTACCGGAAAAGACGCGTTAGGACCGGTGCCAACTCCGGAGCACACGTCCTCAGCACAATTGGGGGGATTCCGTCAGGCCCACTCGACTTCTGGATGTCCAGGGAGAGAAGTGCTTTGCGAACCGAGCGATGTGAAAACAGCACATCCGGCATGGAGCACTCACACCGCGGGATGGTCGGCGGTGTTTTCCCCCCGTCATCAAGAGTCGAGTTGGATGCAAAGAGGGAGCCTAAACGGTCGGCTTTGTCTTTTGCGTCTTGGGCCAGTGAGTCGTCCTCCCTGTGCAGAGATGGTAGTGATGGCTTACAGAAATTCCCTTGGACAGCCTTGGCGAGAGACCAGAATGCACGGGTTCCCGAAGGAAGGCGTACTAGTTTCTCGCCAATTCTGCCTATGTGCTCTGACTTTGCCTTGGCAATAATTCTTTTGAAGGACCTGGAGGCGAAGTTATACTTCTTTTTGAGCGTGCTGGTGTTTACATCCCGAGTCACCGAAGCCGCAGCCCAGGCTTGATAACACTCCTGCTTACTGCGTAATGCAGTCTTACAGGAGCGACCAAACCAAGGCTGAGATCTGCCTCCGATGGGTACCACAGATGATGGAATAAATAGTTCCATTCCCTGTAGCACCACATCAGTGACAGAGTCAGCAACAGCGCTGGGATCGTCCGGCGAGAAGCAAACCCGCCCCCATGGGTAGGAAGCAAAGAAAGACCGCATTCCATCCCAATCCGCCGACCTGTAATGCCAAACACGGCGGCAACCTGCAGAACGCAACCGCGAGGGGAGCGTGAGTGGCACCACACTCCGGATCAGACAATGGTCCGAAGAGCCAAGAGGGGCATCGACGGAAACCTGATATCCGTCCGGATGAGAGGTCAGCAGAAGGTCCAACAGGGAAGGTGTATGATCCTCAACATCTGGAATCCGCGTAGGCGAAGTAACCAGTTGTGTCAGACCATATGCCAAGGCAAAGTCATAAACAGATCTCCCCGCATGATCGGTTAAACGTGAACCGAGCCATTCGGCGTGGTGGGCGTTAAAATCGCCAAGGATCACGATCTCTGCGGATGGGACCTGTTGTAGCATGGAATTTGTAGCCATTTGGACGTGGTCGATGAGTCGGTCTGTTTCGGCATTACCGCTATGGGATCTATAGAGGCACACGTAGACGCGCGGATGGTCGTCGCTGTCTACGCGTAACCAAAGGATGGACAGGTCCGAACCTTCAAGACTGCCGAGGCGTCGAGAACAGATGTCCTCTCTGACATACACGCAAACTCCAGCCCGAGGCACAAAGGAGTGCTCCAATTTGTACCCCGGGTAGGAGAGATACGAAATATCAGCCGGAGAGGAAACCTGCGTCTCGGTCAGAAAGAGCAAGGCCGGCTTCGCCGTCTCAAGATGGTAGTGGACGGCGTTTAGGTTAGAGTGAAGTCCCCTGATGTTGCAGAAATTCACGGATAGCGTGGCAGGGGTCGCCTTGGTATTGTTGCTCAGTTTGCCCCGAGCAGCTATGTTTTGATTTGACTCTTAATCGAAGATACATTTAGCTATCTATGGGCTACAGCATCGACTTATCAGATGAACTGTGCGCTCGTTTGTAACCGTTAATGCCTTAGGGTTATTTCTTTAAAAAATCCTCTGTTAATTGTCATATGTCCTGAAAAAATTGAAGGCTTTATTGTTCTTTAAATTTTTGCAGCGTAGACTTAGAGCTCAGAAATGTCTTAGTGACTGGTATCGGTGGATTCGTAGTTCACAGGAGCAATCTTCGTTTATCTGACCTGACTTTCGAACTCGACATTTCAGTACCTAAACTCGAGGTCAGTACTGGTGAGTAAATTTTAAATTACAATAAACTATGCTAAATACTAATACACATGATTTAAGTCGAAGACGCACGGAATAGGCATGGGTGAGCATAGATAATATATATATATATATATATATATATATATATATATATATATATATATATATATATATATAATATAACTAATTATTTTACTGTAATAATTTGTACTTCACAATGTAACTTATTGTAATCACCGTGCAACCGGCTCATTTGTCTTCTGTTGACTGTTTAGAGTTGTATGGTATACCTAGGACAAATTGTCCAACTAGATAAGTCCAACTTCGATCAAGAGATCAATTGACGGATCCAAATCGGATGAGCAGCGTTCTGTTCTGAGCTTAATTACGACACATATTCTCGTCACATATACCTCAAAATTGGATAACAAGAATGTGGCAGTGCGTATTGCTATTGATGACACATATCTCTGATCAGAGATATAGTCCATTTCTGCTAGCTGTATGAGGAAGCTAGAGGTCGCTCTCGAGCTATGGAGAAGGCTATGCTCAGAGATAGATATATAAATGAGAATATCCGTATTAAAATCCTGACTGAGGATTTGCGTGATAACCTCGATATAGAACGTGAAAGGAGGGCTCTGGCTACTCGGTGTAATATGCTCGCACGCCGGTTTACGCGGTGCAGTCCCAAGGCAAGGCTGACCCTGTTTAGAGCATATCGTCAATGCTTCTATACTTGCCAGCTTTGTTTGGACAGTACCAAAAATGCACGTAGTAGCATTAGAGTGCAGTATAATAATGCATTCCGCATTCTTATGAAACTGCCTAAATACTGCAGTGCATCGAGCATGTTCGCCAACGCCGGGGTGCCCGATTACTTCGCCGTTATTAGATCTCGGGTTGCAGCTTTTTGGTCCCGCATCCGTGATTCTGAGAACGAGATCCTCAGGGTGTGCTACGAGTGCCCAGAGAATTCCATATTAAAATATTGGCGTGCCGTGCATCGCGACAATAACTGTAAATAGATAGTACGAACTCCCTGTTGGGGGCAATTTTAGTATTTTTATTATTAACCTATGGTTACAGTTGAATTGTCTTTTATTTATCTTATTTATTGTATCCTTATAATTATATTTTCATTTTGTTTTTAACATTTATTGATATTTGAAATGGGTGTAAAAAAGCCTGAAATAAATGACTATTATTATTATTATTAAAACTAGCGTAACTTACATACCTCAATGGATCAGTAAGATTGTATTGGCCATGGGCTAGCCATATAGATCGAAGAACCGAAAACCGATGGGGAAGAAACAATGTCAAGTGGCAGCCTCTCAGTAAGGGAGAGAGATTCACTTGAGATTCATAAAAAAAATATTAAAAGAGATTAATACTTCATTTTATTTTTATAATTTTCAGAAGTCTACGATTTAACCGGTAACCTTTTTAACGCTATTCCACTCTATGGCAACGGAAAAGCTGTGTGAGTAATACTTTTGTACAGTCACTTATTATTTTAAACTTCACACAAATTGACATTAGTTGTAAGTTTTATATTCATACATTCATTACAGGCTAAAAAAACTCACAACTGAACTTAGGCCTCATCATAGCCTGGCTCACAGGATATTTGCCATAGTTGCCACGCTTGGCAAACGGGTTGGCGACCGCAGCTTTTTATAACTTAGAGTGGTTATCAGGACCATGCTGCTGCTCACTCTCTGTGTGTCTTTAAGTGTGATATTTTTTATTTATTCTCTAAATATGATTAAATGAACAGAATCATAACAAGATACACAGCAGCATTACGCCGCTATTTTACGCTGGTATTCTGTAAGAGCTTGGTCCTACCCTGCTCGAGCCGACCCATCTATATTACAACCACAATATAGCTACAGCGTGTCTCTACCACGTAAAAAAGGAATTTTCCATAGTTGCTACGTTTTGCAGGCGGGTTGAAAACTGCAGTTTTATCACAGAAGTACGAGAATAGAAGGATCACTCTGTGATAGCAAACTTGTGAGTTTAAACTTCGTTACAATGTCTCTAATGTTCATAATACTTTGCACGCCTCGGAAGTGACTTTCGTTAAATTAGCCTACCGTTTATATGGTCGAAAAAAATTTTATTCGGCGCGCGTATTAAATCAAAATGCACCTTACGTCCGCGTGCGAGTGTCTGTATCACTTATCCCGTTACGCGCCTTTGTTAAGACCGCGTAGTTATTGTGAGAAAACAAATTGAATCCTTTGATATGAGTTGGTATATAGTAGAATACACCGAGGTGTTATGCAATGTATTAGTATTTCTTTTATTTTGTCAAAAAAAAGTTACCCCCACGCTAGGATTTTCTGCTGTATCGTGGAGGCAGTTAACAAACATAAATTGCACAAGGACAAATATCTAGACCCGGAACAATGATTTGTAGGCCATACAAATACTTGTTCCGTGCGGTGTCGAACCCGCGTCCCCAGCATTGCAACTCATTGCTATGCCACTGTGCCATGGAGCCATAAATTTTCTGATAATAAAACAATTATTATTCAATGTGAGGACGATTAATATGCAACATCGAGGAAAATTAAGATTATAACACCGTGAACGTCTTTGAAATTCAGATAGTTTACCTACTTACCATTTAAACCGCCTTCAAAAAATGAGGAGTTACTCAGTTTAACTGTATTTTTTTTATGTGTGTTACCTCAGAACTTTTTTCTAGGTGAATCGATTTTGATGATTCTATTTTTATTTAAAGGCTGGTGCTTATAATTTATACATCCCATATAAATTTGATCAAGATCTGACCAGTAGTTTTGGAGTTATCCTTAATAATGCGTATTAATATTCAAGTCGGTTATACAACATTTTTAATTTCATTAGTTGTCTCTCTTCCTCTCTTTTAAAAAAAACGTTACCTCCTCATACGATTTTCTCCTGCATCGCAGGGACAGTTTAAATACATAGAACAGACCCAGAACAATTATTTGTGGGCCATACAAATTCTTGTTCCGTCCGGGATTCGAACCCGTGGCCCTTAGCGCTGCAACTTATTACTAATCTACTGCGCCACGGGGCCGTCACTTGTCTGTTTCACATTTTTTGCTATTTACAAACATGCGACACGCGACTTCATTATTAATGAACGAGTGGCAATGAGAAGTGGTGCTAATTTCAATTTCTTTCTTTTATCTACCAAGTGTTAAAATATTACCAGTATAATATTTTTTTGATTTTGCATTAGTAGGCAGTCACTAGTACTGGGAGGTCTACTTACACTGAACAAATATTTAAGGTCATTGGCATTATACGCTAAAAAATCGAAAACTACGAAGCTGTGGTCGGGACATTAATCAAATAATAAATCTGTAACTATGGCGTCAGTAAATAAGTACCTAATTATCTAGATGTATCTATAAATAATAATATATTACCTTTCGGTATCCTTAGGAACAGTAAAGAATGAAAAGTCGACATTCCTATTGTTATTTAAGCAACCGTATGCTATACAGTAATTTTTGGCTTTTTGAGAGGCCATACTTGAATAAAAACCCAAAAATAAATATAAAACGTAAGGCTCGCGTCAGCTTGAGCGGGCACGTGACAACCTCACGGAATTAGCCCTGCATACGAGGCTGCGCAGAATAGGTATATTTTCAAGCCTAAAGCGCGGAGTGAGACAGGCTATGTTTTATTTTGATTAACTGAAGATGCTGCCTCCCATTCCCGCTTCAGTTTCCCTCTGTCGCCCACGGGATGATATGGGGTAGTGGACATTCCTAAGCCACCTTTATACGGGCCTAATTTTGTTTATTCTTCTAAAATATTACATTCGATGGTTTCAATCCTTAAATACTAGTTCTTGATATTAATTAGAGTACAAGTAACATAACAGCTTACATAGGTCTGTTAGGCACAACTGTTCTTGTATTAATCTTTTGTAACAGCAAGGAATTACCCACATTACCGCATGTTAGCAGACTTTATAAAATATTATACTTTACTATATAATATACTTTTTTCTTTTTTTTTCTTTATATATTTAGGGATTTATGTTTGTGAGAATGTTAATCCCATTGTAAGTAACTTATGTAAGAGGCATTATTATTTGCTGTCGAAGTAACCACCTGTAGGTTATTCCGTTCGTTGTTGCTGTCGTTAGATTGCACTATGATTAGATTGAAATCATAATTATTTTCAAATTTAACATTATGCAGTTATAACGTTTGTTTTTCCGAAATTATAAGTTATAAAGAGTAACATGTTAACTAAAATATATTCGTTGTATTAGCTTCCAGGTTGACGGATTCCGTTTCAAATCTAAGCTTTTCTTAAAACAATCAGACGATGAAAAATCTGTAATCATTGACAGAATTGAAGAGGCATCTTTTGATCTACCAAGTTTCAAGGTAAGATTTAATTAACTATTATTTTTGAGGTACTAACTACTAATTAATCAGGGCGAGCAAAGCGAGCCCTACACAATCCCACAATCAATGCATTTTTTTGGTACACTTTACTGAGAAACTATCACACTTGCAGGTAATACTTTAGGTAGGCTTTGACACAGTATTTTTAATACATGTCTAGATGTGTTATCAATCCCAAAAATATTATTTTATCATCATTTATATATATATATATATATATATATATATATATATATATATATATATATATATATTTGATTTACATATTGAAAAAAATAAACTTTGTGCTCTTTGTCACAAATTTCAATTAAAAAATTAATTAAATATATTTTCTGTAGACAATAATATGAATCCTGGACCACAGCCTGATGTTTGAAAAAAATTAACATTTCTGGAAGAACAATTAAACACTCAAGTACACCCGGTTAGTACAGTATATAGATTTAAAGGTGATGGATACAGTGGCCAAGTTATCAATTTTCATCAAGATATCACAGATTTTACTACATCCTTACCTCATTCTATTGTTACTATTTCAAATATATTTTTGTTAGAAGAAATTGTGGTTAAGGGTATAAAGATTTAATTGTTAATCGTAATAATGTTAAGGCAGCTCTGATATATATCTTAAAAATAATAATCCTTGGTATCGTGATATTACAATCGATGAAAATTATTTACAATATTTACCTAATAATGAGAGTGTTTTTCAACATACTATATCAAGTTAAGAAAAACAACATCTTTCATTTAATTTAGATAGTGAAGATGATGATCAAAATACATTATATGATCATGTTTATGAATCTGGAGTCCCAACGGTGACTTTTCAATGTAATCGTAAAGCAGTGAATAATGTACTGAATATCAAAGAAGCAAATCATGGATCTTGCGTTTTACCTTGACCTAGATTGCATTCTGAGCCAATTAATGAATTTACATTTGTGATGGATATACGAGTATTTGCAGATTTCCAACTTTGTTTCCTACTGGTAAAGGTGACTTTAGAAATAAATACACTAGTTTGTAAAGTTTTTAATAATGAATATTTTAAATTCCTCACGATGTATGAAGACCACAGGTTTGCAAGAGATCCTAGATTTCGATTTTTTGTATTTAATAGTATGATGCATTGGATAGCTTTACAAAATGGAAGTATTTGTGTCGTCAAAAAAATTATATAATGTAGAAACAATTGAACAGCTTCGAGAATTATTGCAGCAAAATACATTATTGTATAAATCAATGTTATCATACTTTGAGATTATATAGCTCATATTGGTATGCAAGAGTTAGTGGATATGATTGAAGAATTAGGAAGTCCAACAGTATTTATGACACTAAGTGCAGCTGACTTATATTGGCCAGAGCTGTATCCTATATTAGATCCTGATTATAATTATGCTAATTTTAATCAAAACAGTGAATTTATTCCTAGATCTAAATTCAAATCCTCTGATAGTCTTACTTTTTTCATAAGCGATTAGAATTCTTTATGCCGCATTTTGTTAAAAAAATTCTTTAAAGTCAAGGGTTTTTAATTCCATATTGAATTTCAGCACCGAGGTAGTCTTCATGTGCATGTATTTTCTGGTTTGAAAATGCTTCGGATCTTAAGAATCTCAATCCAGATGATATTGCAAGATTTCAAAAAATCATAAATTATTTCGATCAATTCATATCGACGTGGTATCCAGATCCTTCTCAAACTTATGATACACATCCATGATTTGTCGTATGAATTATTTACAGAAGCCCATGTTAATAATCCATACATTAAAAGTTAATTATCTTTAAAAAAATCTGCCTTCAAAATTGCTAAGTAAAAGACTGTCTTCAAAATGACTAGGTAGAACTCTTCGCGAGCCCTCCTAAAGCACCGCTTTTTGCTCGTTTAATTTAATTCAAGGTTTACTTATTAATTAAATAAACCTATGCTATTTATACGTCGCAGCCTACTAGCTTAAATAGCCGTTCAATGAATAGCCTAGCCATTACATTATATGGTCACGCAATTAATTTCATTCAACGAGACGGTCGCTGGTCTACGAGTATATCTAATTAGCACTATATTATATAAATGTACGCGGCTTTAGGCTAGCCGGAGAGCCACCCCATCCACATTTAACCTTCTGTCGCTAATATTTCAAGATATGTTCAATGTTGTATTAGACGCATCGGCTGAATATCATTCAGGCCGCTAGTTGAACGGCGCCGTTTAGTGAAAAGGCTAGGCTGTTAATTGAACGGCTAATTAAGCTAGTTGGCTGCGATATATAGACAATAAGATTTACAATTCCCGAATCTGTCGAAAGCTAGGAGTATTAACCGCGCAAGAGACAATAATATAGCAAGTATTACAAGAGCCACTCACTGGTTGGCACAACACTTACGATACACTCATTAAAGTTCAAAATACAATCAAACAATTTTTTTTTATAGTACGAAGGTGACAAATGAGCACACAGTCCACCAGCTGGTATGTAGATGCTGTGGCTCATAGATATCTAAATTTATCCTCGATTAAGAATCGAAATTCATATGTCACCACTGAGGACTGGTTTCCAGTAAAAAGGGTCTCCGGTTCTCTACACTCACCATACGAAACACAGCAGCGTTAAGCTGATATTTTACGCTGGTATTCTGTGAGAGCGTGGTCCTTCCCCGGTCGAACCGACCCATTAGTGCTACAACCATAATATAGCTGCAGCATAGCTCTACCTTCTACTTCACGGTAATAATATTGCATTGAGCAGCACGGGCCACCGGCGCGGCAGATAGGATAGGTGGCCCGTGTTGCTCTGTTTAATATTGTCATGTCGGTTTATATTTTATTATATGTTCTTACATCTATCATCATAACTTTTAATTTCAGTCCGATTTGAGCGGAGCAATTGGCGGAGGTGACATAGACCCCATCGTAAACGCAATAATCGAGGAGGTCATAGTGGACTATATCAATCGCTTCCAAAGCGTCATCTCTAAAAAGGCCTCAGAAGCAATCGTGAAATTTGCCAATCCGCTACTTAACCAGCTTGACACATGGAAGTATATTGCAAGACTACTTTAATTTAACTGTGCTGAATTAATTTCATAAAAAGAATATTGGTATAATTTGACTATTATTTATTTACAACACAAAAGCTATTTCAGCAAGAAAATGAAAAGTAGAAGTTCTGCATAAAATAAAAAGACGTCACTGCAGCCCATAGACAAATGCAAACTATTTCATACAACTATTAGGCTTGTATATTTTGTGTATTAGATATCTGTGTTTTATTTATTAATATGCAGTAGATAATACATATCTTTCAAATAAAAGTAGAAGCCGTATTTACTCGTATTTTCAAAAACTGCAATAACGATATATCCTTAATTATATATTTGAACTTAAGTTTAAAATTTGCCTACTCTTTGAAAAATAACCCTGTATAAAAGACGATGTCACGAGTGACTGACTCATCTATCAACGCGATGCCCAAAATGCTAGACCTATAAATCTGAAATTTAGACAGTAGCTGCCTTTAACAACATAAGCATCGACTAAGGAAGGATTTTGGAACGTTCTACCCCTAAGTAGTTGAAATAAGATGTTACAGTTTATATGAATGTTCTCATTTTACGTAGTGATTGACTCGAAACTTACTGAAAGTACTCTGTTTTTTCTTTTAGGGAAGTAGGATGAAAAACGAGCACACAGTCCACCTGATGGTAAGTGGTTGCTGTGGCCTATAGACATCTGCATCTATCTTCGTTTGCGAATTAAAATGCAGATGCGTTGTCAGCCATGAGGACTAAGATAGAATGCCTCTTTTCCAGTAATAAGGGTCTCCGGTTCTCTACACTCACCATACGAAACACAGCAGCATTAAGCTGCTATTTTACGCTGGTATTCTGTGAGAGCGTGGTCCTTCCCCGGTGGAGCAGACCCATTCGTGCTACAACTATACTATTAATATAGCCGCAGCATGGCTCTACCACGTAATCTGTATCTGTAAATAAAGAAATATGTACGCAATATTGCGCATTACAGTAGATATCAAGGTTATTCTTATTTGTATGTCTTTTTATCGTTTTTCAGTGTTTTATAATTATATTTTTGATAGCACTATTATAAGCTTTCAATTAGACACGAGGTAAGACTTGTTTAAGGATATTCGTATACTCCACCCCTAAAGGGGAAATGAAAGGATGAGAACTATTATAAAATTGTAAACTATTTTCAATCAAACAATATAAATTTTTATTGTACAGCAATACATACTGAAACAAAAACAAAATCTCTTTGGAAGCGATTTCTTCCAAACTTTTACGCAAAGAATTGTTCACAACGAATGGCTAGGTGGGAGGTGTATGTACATAATTTACACAATTAAGTTAAATATAAATAAAATAAAAACACAAGATGATGTCAGTTATGGAACGTAGGATAGATACAAGAAAGGGCGAGAAGTATTATGAATATATTACGAATAAATAGAATCTTAAGTAATAACCTATGAGGAGATTTAAGAAGGAAAAAAAGGATTGGGCACGGGAAGGCAAGGAATTCTATCCGCGAATAAGAATCCAAAATGCCGATGCGATGTCACCCCATAGAACTAAGATGGATGCCTCGTTGCCAGTCTCGTTAGTCTTCGGTTCTCTACAGTCACCATACGAACGACAGCAGCATTAAGCTGGTATTTTACCCTGGTATTTTACGCTGATATTCCATGAGGGCGTGGTCCTTCCCCGGTTGAGTCAACCAATTCGTTCTACCACCATAATATATTTATTTATTTTTAACAACTATCCATACAGGCTAAACAAACCCACTACGATAGTATCGCTAATCTACTTAAATATACTATGTATTACAACTAACTTACATAACTATGTATAAAAGTACCTTAGCGAGTTCACTCAGATTACTCGAAAATATATCAATCCTCTCTCGTGAACTTTGTTCACTACGAGGATTGTTCGGACTATAGGTGAGTTACTAAAGAAATTGGCGCGAGCAGTGACGGGCGGCGCCGCCTCCACACGTACCGGTCCGGTGCGCACAGCTGCAGGTGGCGTAACACCCCCGGGTTGCACGCGGCGCTACGGATCAACTTCACTACGTATGAAGCCAAGGCAAACTCCCATCTCACTCTGAGCTGATTGTACTCGACCATCCCCAGCACGAACAATGTGGGGTACATCAAAGGGTAAAACGGATATACCCCATACAGTTTGAAGTACATGTGCCTCATACATTTGTTTTGGACACGTTCTAGCATTAGGCTGCTATATATATATATATATATATATATATATATATATATATATATATATATACATATAATTGCAGATGATCTACCATCAGATCCCGTTTGTCTCCTCTTTCATAAGCAGTTACAGTTTATGGAAGAGGAGGCAAACAAGCATAAGAAAATGTGTAAACTTTGTCAGGAATAAGAAAAATAAAACATAGTGAAAGCGAATAATTTTAAAATTTGTACTGTAATTGTTTCTTAATAATAAATAATATATTTAACTTATCAGAAAATATAATTTTAAGACATCGGCATGGTACAAAGTCATATTGAAGCTTAAAACAAATTCACTTAATTATTCTTTCACCATACTTCCCGACATATTCCTGCGATGTCCATCATGAAACCATCGGGGCAGTTTTCGAGAGAAAAAGAGTATTCATCGGGCGAATCTTCAAATTGCACATTCTTTATTATTACTTCAGGTTCTGGAATGATGACTTCGTCGCTCATTATCGATCGAGGTCCTACAGATTTTGAGAACACTGCAATAATTATTGCAAATAAAATTAACGTAACAACTTTGTACATTTTGCACCAAGGCGTGTTAACCACAATACGCACCGATGAGTGTAGATTTATATACGAATGATAACGGAGTTTGAAACTAAGGTCAAACGTTGACTTCCGGTCGTTTCGCCCACGCGAGGAAATTCGCCCGATTCAAAAGATATACGCGTATTGAGACGAGTTTATTTGATAGTTTAGTTGATAGTTTTATTTAACATAAAATTGGTATAAAATTTTATTTTCTGCCGACTTCCAAAAAGGAGCCGGTACTCAATTCGACTGTATGTTTTTTTTTTTTCGTTTTTTTTTTTATGTGTGTTACCTCAGAACTTTTTTCTGGGTGAACCGATTTCGATGATTCTTTTTATTTGAAAGCTGGTACTTCTCGTGTGGTCCCATATGAATTTGATCAAGGTCAGACCAATAGTTTTTAAGTTATTCTTAAATAACTTATATTGAAGTCGGCTGTACAAAATTTTTAATTTTAAATTATTATGGAAATCATTCACATTGACACATAAGTAACTATAATCACTTATCATAAAATAATATTACCAAAACGTAGCCAAATAATGCACTCAAAACAGACGATTTAGTATATATTATGTACGTCACTGAATATGAATACCTACTACAAGTCTATGTCAGATTCTACGTTTACTTATGGTGATTAAATAAACGAGGCATATAATAAGTAACACAGTACCTACTAAGTTTGAAAATAATCCTTTCATTTATTTTCATTAGGCCTTTACACATTTAAGTACATATCGAAAGTTCCCAACTGCGAAGACAATGTTTTTTATAGAATAAGGGTGATAAACGAGCACACAGTCCACGTGATGGTAAGTGGATGCTGTGGGCATTAGATACCTAGTGAAAAAAATTAGATGCATCGTCACCAATGAGGATTAAGTTGAAGTGCCTCGTTACCAGTAAATAGTGTCTACAGTTCTCTACTCTTATCATACGAAACACACCAGCATTATGCGGCTACTTTACACTAGTATTGTGTAAGAGTGTGGTCCTTCCCCGATCAAACCGTGCATGCTGCAGCCTTATATAATGCTGATGACGCTACTTTATAAGGACCTGGGCAGCCGAGCTTTATGGTTGATTCTGATACAAAATGATCGTTTGGAGTTATGATGCTTAAGTGAACGCCATTACCCCTTAGTGATGTTTAATTTTTTTGGCAGATATGTCTAAAAAATGTTATAAACTCCCGCCAAAGCGGCTTTGGTCGTGGCAGACCTCCTATAAGTTAAAACTGAAATTGAAAGGAGGATGTCCAAAAGACAAACAGCGAAAAGATAATATAATATTACATTCACTTCGTTGAAGGATGGACTAAAGAATGAGCTAAATAACAATCCACAAGTAGGTCATAAGACGGTCGATAAAAGAACTAAAGGAAAATCTTACAAACTGATCTTAGAAACCAAAAATGAATAAAATAATAATCATTGCAACGATGACAGTGATGCTGAAATGGACGTGGACGGTAAAAACATTTTGACGAAATAATGATTTGTATCGCTGTACCGAATTCGGACTCCGATCTCATGCCACGTGATCTGGCATTGTCGTGATCTTAATTATTTTTCTTTTCTTTTAAATCAGGGCATTTACTGCCACCAGGGCGGCGTCACTATGGAAAGTGATGTAATATTTCAGATTTCGTTCGTTCGATTATCGTATGAATACACACTTCCATCTTTTTATTACTTTGCCCAATAAGTACCTAACGGCCTTTATTCATAAAGCCCAGTCAATTCAGCTACTTCAATAGTTTTTATCACATTTCCCCCTGATATTGGGTATTATTCGTATAGCCCGGGCATTATGAATAATGCCTAATTAATCACTTGGTCCATAACAAATACACTGTTAAAACTACAGATAAATAAAAGACAGAAATAAGTCTATGGCACTAACACAGTGCCAATCACAATTCATTCAGTTACTAAAACAGTTTCTGCGCAGTTACAAAACATGTCCAGCCGAGGACTGTTTTGGGCAAATAAAAAGAAGCATATTCGCGTCACTGTCACGTCTATATTCAATTTATTTTAATTGATCGTTAAATATATTATGTGAATCACTAATTAAAAACTTTACTTATTAATATTTTTAATACGATACTTTTTTCGTCCTTTAGTTATAACCTGTTTCGCGCGATGACATTGACTTCGATAAACTTCCTCTAAGAGCCATAAAATGAGGTTGAGGTTATTTCGATATCAATATTAAAGCT